TCTTGAGATGTTTTAATTTTCTTTTTATGATTACCATCTAAACTGTCATTTATTTTCTTTCTTTTTACCTTTTGAAAAAAATGATTTGTAATTTTCTTTATGAATTATTTCCTTATTATCAACTATTTTTTTACATTTTACACATGGATGGGGTATTAAGTGTAAACTGATTGGTTTATCTAATAGAGTTAATTCATGAGTTTATGACTATTTTTTTTTGAAAGGTATGCCAAGGATTTAATGAGTATAATTGAATTTTTTCTTAATAATTCTTGAGGAGTATTATAAATAAAAAGTCTATATTTGTATAAAAAATCATTTACAATACTATTTCAGAGTTAATATTTGAGTTTTATTTCCGATAATTATTGAGTAATTAGTTTAATACATACATTGATTTTATAATTTTTTTTTTTTTGAATATTCTAAATCTACTATTTGAACGGCTATGTCTTGCTTTTGTGTTTTATGCAGTTGAATTTTTTCATAAAAAAAAATTGAAAGTGATTCATTTTTTATTAATTTTAATGTATCCATACAATTAAATTTAAAATATTTGTTTGGAGGTAAAAAATAAAAAAAAAAATTTTAAAAAAAATTTTAAAAAAAATAAAAATTTTTAAAAAAAATTAAATTTAATTTAATATTAAGAAAATTTAAATTTACAAATAAAATAGTTCGATTAATGGTGAATTTGTAATTGTTGGTGTGTATTTGTATAAATAAAATTTATAAAACCTGTGTTAACATTTGCATCAATCAAATTGAATGGTGAAAAAACATTTAATAAAAATTAAAACTTAAAAAAATATTTAAAAAAATATAGTTATTAAATTATATGAAAATGATATTCATTATATATAAAAAGATATTATATTTATTTATAAAATATTAAATAATAAAAACTATTAATGAGTGAAAATAAACTATTATATTTGGAATTTTATTTTGAAAATTTTAAAAAAATAATAAAAAAAATTAAATGTGTGTGGAGAAAGTAAATAAAAATGATATTTCATTATATATATAAATATTATATATTTATAAAATACAACAAAACTAATAAAAGCATTCTAATAAAAGCAGCACCAAAAAGTTATTTTGAGATTGTGGCAATTTTGGAAGTGAATTTTGTTTGATTTATTTCTAAAAAAAGTGAGTTAAAAATCACAATTAATTATTAAAATATATTATATTTTCATATATCAATAAATATTTTGGGTAAATTGGTAAGTGTAGTGATAATTTGTGTTTTTTTAGAAACTAATATTAGTGTTTATTTTATAAAACTTGGTATGTGTTAATGAATGTGTGTTTTTTTTTTTTTATAGAAATTATTATAAAAGATACTATATTTGTGTTTATTTTATTATAATTAAACAATTTTTGATATAAAATTCATATACATTTTGTATACCCAAAATAAAAAAAATGATATTAAAAAAAAAAAAATTAAAAATTAAATAAAAAATATTTTAAATTAATTTTTTTTAATTTGAAATTATATTTTTATTTTTCATTTACATATTTTATATTGCATATTTTATTCGTTTTAATTTATCATATTTTTTATCGCATTTAATAATTTTTATATCACAACTTTATATATTTTATACATTTTACACTTATTTATATCAATTTCCACATTTATCAATTTTTACAACTTATAAATATCAATTCTTTTATTTTTTTATAATTATATTCAAAATGAAATACAATAAGCAGCATTTAATAGATTTAACAAAAGATTTATCAATAAAATTATATTACGCAAGAGGCTTAAATATTGCCTTCTTTAATGAAGGAATAAAAACAGCCAGAAAAGTTATCAAAGAAATAACAAATTTAGAAATTTTAGCAGGAATAGAAGTTTCCACCATAGAACCAACTACTTTGGTTTTAAATTATTTATTAGTCAACAATAATATAGTCAACGAAGATCAACAAGAATATCAAGAACAACAAGAATATCAAGAACAACAAGAAGAAGATCAAGAACAACAAGAAGGTAAAGAACAAGAAGAAGATCAAGAACAAGAAGAAGATCAAGAACAAGAAGATGATCAAGAACAAGAAGATGATGAACCAATTTACGCTACCCCATCTCCACAACAACAAGAACAAAACCAAGTTCAAGAAGATGAATCATCAGATGGTGATAATGATGACAATGATTATAATTGGAGATGCTACCAAACTCCAATTACCCCACCTCCATCACCACCAAGATCAGATCAAAGCGAACAAGATCAAAATGAGGTCCAAGAACAAGAATTAGTCCTTAATAATCAAGAACAAAATCAAGAACAAGTTAATCAAGAACAAGAAGAAATCCAAATTAATCAAGAACAATCCAATCACCATGAGGAAGAACAAAATGGACAATTCAATAATGAAAATCAAGAAACCGAAGAAAATCAACAATTATCTCATCATAATCAAAATGAAGAACAAGATGCAGAAAGATCCAACCAAAATGTACCATTTTCACAAATTTCAGAACAATCAATGGATGAAGAAGAAATCATTTTTGGATTTATTTATTTAATAATAATAATAATAATAATAAAAATAATAATAAATAATAATCAATAATAATCAATGATAATCAATAATCTATAATAATAATAATAATAATAATAATAATAATAATAATAATAATAATAAAAAAAAAAAAAAAAAAATTTTAATGTAACACCGTCCAATGTACCACAAGTCGAGTCCAGAAGAGTAGTAGCCGCTAAAAAACTGGATAATGTCAGGTATTTCCTTAATTGGGGGTATCTGGCGTTATCTAAGTTTCCTCATCCAGGGAGGGTGAGGTTTTGCCATTTTTTTTTTAAAAAACGATAGAGGGAACAATTATCTATCTGCTGATACCTTTGTTAGACCGTATAACTCAAATCATCAAAAGCTGGATTGATTTAAAGTTTTTTTTTTCTATGGAGCCTCATATAAAATTTTTTTTTAAAACCCCTAAAAAAACCCCAAATTTTTTCAAAAAATTAATGTGATGATTTTAAATTTTTTAAAAAAAAATTTGGGTTTTTTTTTTTATTTTTATTTATTTTTTTTTTATTTTTTTTTTATTTTTTTATTATTTTTTTTATTTGTTTTTTTTTTTTTTATCCTTAAGGGACTCACTCAAAAATAGAATATTAAAATTTTTTTTTAACTGCTGCAAGTCGGAGCCTTTCAACAGCAAAATAACAATAATGTTAAATTAAAAAAAAATAAAAACCTTAAAGGTTGCTGAACTTTTATTTTCTTTATAAATTAAAACTTTTTAACAAATTAAATCTTAATTTAAAATATTTTTTATTTTACCAATTTTAGCTTATTTATAAATTTCTAATACCACATACATATCCATGAAATAATGCTAAAAATTATAAATTTATGTAATAAATTGTAGTATATTTATAAAATAACCAATTATTGGAAATTTGACATGTCACAAATGAAATTAATAACACGAAAAATGTCGCATATCAGTATGGATCAAGAACTCAAAGTCATTCGATCCCTCAGAACAACTTTGTAAACCAGTGACCAATGTAAATACATTGTCACAATCAGTCAAAGAAGATACAACAGACAGTGAAGCTCAAACATACACAGATCAACCTACCAAAGCACCTCCAATCATACCTCTTAGCTGCAAAAAATAATAAAACTATAAAAATATTAAAATTAAACCTTTAAAATTAAATAAATAAATGATTTAATTACATCGTTTGACCATAATCAGAATATTCAAATTGAATCATAATGATAATGGATACTTTTAAAACAAAAAAACATACATACAAAAACATATGACCATATTCATGTACATACACATACACATATACATACACATATACATATACATGCATATGCAGATGCACATAAACATATACATACATTTGCACATACACATACATGAATATACACATGCACATGCACATGCACATGCACATATACATGCACACGAACATATACATAAACATATACATACATGAATATACACACACACACATGAGCTTGAGCAGCACATACACATACATAAATATACACACACACATGCACTTGCACTTGCACTTGCACATGAGCATATACACATGCACATGCACATGAACATACACGCACATGCACTTGCACATAAACATATACACATGCACATGCACATGAACATATAAATATGCACATACACATGAACATGAGCAGCACATGCACATGAACATACACATGCACATGAACAAACATATGTACATGCACATGCACATGAACTTGAACAGCACATGCACATGCACATACACATTAACAAACATATGTACATGCACATGAACATATATACATACACATATAAATACATGAACTTGAGCAGCACATGCACACGAGCATATACATACATTTGCACATATACATACATGAATATACACATGCACATGAACATATACACATACACATATAAATACACATGCATATACACATGCACATGAACATGCATATGCACATGAACATGAACAAACATATGCACATGTACATGTACATGAACATGGGCATGAGCAGCACAAACACATACATGAATTTACACACGCACATGCACTTGCACATGCACGTACACATACTTACACATGAACATATAAATATGCACATGCACATGTACATTAACATTAACATATACATACATTTGCACATACGCATACATGAATATACACATGCACATGCACATGCATATATACAAACATGAATATACACATGCACATGCACATGAACATATACACATACATATGCACATATAAATACACATGCATATGCACATTCACAAAAACTTGAACAGCACATGCACATTAATATACACATGCACATGCACATACACATTAACAAACATATGTACATGCACATACACATGAGCGGCACATACACATACATGCACATGAACATTTCCATGCAAATATACATGAACATGAATATGAGTAGCACATACATTTACACATACTCATTCACATGCATATATATATACACATATAAATGCATACTCATTTAGGTATGAACATGCACATAAACATATACATACATACATACACATGCACATGCTCATATACAGCACATACACATACATGCACATACTTACATATATACACATAACATGCACATGCACATATTCATAAACATATTCCTATACATGCACATACTTACATATATACACATATACATAAACATATTCATATACATTCATGTACTTATTCATGTGCTCATTCTCATACATATTAACATACCCATACACATACAAAAACATATGAGCATATTCATGCACATGCATACACATTCACATAAAAATGCAACACATACATGGGCACGGTAATACTGATACTGATACTCCTACCAGTACACATACCCATCCTAATTCATACACTTTCTCACACAACACATATTCTCTCACATACACATACATATATACATTTATATTCACATGTACATACACATACACATATACATACACATATACATACACATATACATACACATATACATATACATGCATATGCAGATGCACATAAACATATACATACATTTGCACATACACATACATGAATATACACACGCACATATACATACATTTACACATATACATACATGAATATACACATGCACATGCACATGCATATATACAAACATGAATATACACATGCACATGAACATATACACATACACATATAAATACAGGGAAAAGATTTGTTAATATCCTATTGATGGTTTCTTAGATCAAACCCCTATCATCTAGGCTTGGAAAACATTCCTTCCGCCCATATCTAATAACTTCTTTCTTATTTTCATTAGGATCAATTTATAATTTAATAAAAAAACAATAAAAAAAAAAATTGTAAAATAAAATAAAAAAATTAAACGATCCATCACACAAGAAAAAAAACATTATAATCAAAAAAATTTTATTTTATTATAATTTACTGAATGGTATACCAACACGACTTGCCATATGTTGAATATAATTACCATCTTTTGCTAATGGTATATCAAATGATGTTGAGTTATCTGTATTTATAATGTCCAAAGCATATGGTTTGATAGCAATACACAACTCTTTGATGGCTTCAGAGATCTTTAATGCTTGACCTGCTGATATACAGTTATAATTTCTATAAAATCCAAAATCGTTTTCGATTGAACTTAAAGCATAGAGTTTAATCAAATCGTTTAATAATTGTCTTGTTGGTGGATCAGTGCATCTTTTAATGGATAAATGAGCCTGTTCTAAAATGTAAAGATGGGTATAGGCTTTGGATAATTCTATAATATACAAAAGAGTATCATTCCAACTTTGCATGAATGTCATTTTCTTTGATTTGGAATGACTTAGTTTTTCAATGACTATTGAACGCATTTTTTCAAAACGATAAGAGAAAGCATGGTGATGGAATTCATTCGATAAAATGTATGGAATTGATCTTGAATGTGTGTAGATTGGATTGCTGGTTGCTAAAAATGTTTGAACCTCTTTAATAATATAACCAGTAACACCCTCCTTCTTATACCATTTCTTGTACTCTGATAATAAAAATTTACTTAATTGTTGATATAATACAGCTCCGTCTCCTTCTGCAGTTTGGAAAATATCCATTTCATTCCTAAAATAACCAAATAAATTATACGATGATATACTTTTATGAAAAAAACAAATTAATAAAAAATGAATTTGAATTTATGTATTTAATTAAAACTTACCCATTACCACCACAAAAAGTTCTCAATTTATTTGTGCATGTCATGTTATATTCATTTACCAAAGCTTTGACACCACTAATAATTGAATTAGTTTCATCTAACTTTTCTTCATTCTTATCAAATAATCTTTCAATTACAGAGTCTCTTGCTATTTCAAAAGCAACCAAGTGTCCCAACATTGGAAGTAAAACTTGGTAATGAGATGGATAGTTCATAATTAACTCTTCACTTTTTCCTTTTTCACCAAATTGTCTACGAGAAAGTGCATAATTGATTACAGTTTTTAAATTGATATTTAATACTCTAACTGGTCCACAAATATATAACATTCTAAATAGAAAAAAATAACAATGTTAATTAAAAATTAAATAAAATAATTGTTTTTTTTTACTTACCTTCCAAAAACTAATTGTGAAATTGTATTTTGAAATAACTTACCTGGTGTTGGTAATTTGCATGTATACTCGCCTTTATCATCGATATTTGCAAATTTATTTAAAAGATTTTCTTTTGGGACACGATAATTCCTAAATCTAATCCAAGCATTATCAATACCATTCCATCCAATCTTTGGTCCACAATCACCAATTTCAATACCTGGGAATACTTGTTTAGTATCAACATCTCTTATTGGTGTAACAATACCATGCACACCTTTATCCTCTCCTTTATATATTAACTTACAAAATAATACACAATGAGTACCATATTCTATTAATGAAAAATAATTATTATTAATATTAATATTAATTTTATAATTAAATGAAAAAAAACTATTTAATACTTACTTGCTAAATTACCAATCCAAAATTTAGTGCTTGATGGTGTTGGTGAGTTAATAACAAACTCTTTACTTTGGTGATCATATTCAGCAATAGTTTCAATATTTCTAACATTTGAACCATGACCCATTTCTGTCATACCAAAACCACCCACTATCTTCATATGTTTGATATCGGGGAAATACTTTTTATGATGTTGTTCTGTACCTAACTCTAAAATTGTTCCACCAAATAACTGATAATGAATAACAAGCTTGGCTAATACTGATAAATCGATAACGACTAAAGAATTCAAGTATGCTAAAAACTTTTTGGGATCATCTCTTATTAACTCTACCGATATTAAACCTAGTTTTGCAATTTCCTTAGCATCTCTGTCAGTTAATGCCTTATGTTCATCAGATACCATATCAATTACTGGTTTGCTTCCAATCTTTTTAATAACATCTTGAATTTCTGCAAAATCCTAAAAATATAAAATTAATAAGGTTAAAATTATATTCTTTTTGGTTTTTTAATAAAGATATGTTACCTTTCCATATTTATATAATGAACTATTTCTTGCTTTAAATATTTCTTCTGCGTTAATTGTATATTTTATATCCATTTTTATTAATTTTTATATATATATAAATAATTATTTTTTATATATATACATACAAATAAAACAAATATAAAACAAATAAATTTAAAAATTTTGAAAATTAAATTTAATATTAAAAAAAAAAAAAAATTAAATAAAAAAAGTGTGTTAAAAAAAATTAAAAATAAAAAATAAAAAATATTATCTGTTATTTTCCTTAATTATATTCTTTTTAATAAATTATAATAATAATTGTAAAGAAAAAACTTTTTTTATATTGATTAAAAAAATATATGAAAATAAATAAAGATATTTAAAAATAAATATAGAAATAAATAGAGAAATAAATAGAGAGATAAATTTATAATTATTGTTTTGATTGATTGGTTTGAAAGAAATTATTAAAAAAATTTTAAATTTTAATAAATTTAAATTTCAAAATTATTTTTTTTTTAATTTTTTTTTTTAATTTTTTTTTAATTTTTTTTAATAAAATTTTTTTATTTGTATATTAATGGCGTTATATAACACTCCACTCCACCTACCACATCAAATTTCTCAAAACTAAACTCTCATAATAATAATAATAACAGTTTTAATTATAATAATAATAAATTTATAAACTGTTTTTTCATTGATCATCAAAAAAAAAAAAAATTCATAAATTAAAAAAAATAATTATCAAAAATTAATAAATAAAAAAAAAAAAAAAAAAAAAAAAAAGTTATAAATTTATTTAAAAATATCAGAGCTTAAAAATCAAAAAATTGAATAGCACCACTTTGTTGTTAATAATAAAAAAGGAACAATAATAAACAATCAGCAAATATTTGCATTGGTTTTAAAGGTAATAATGGTTAATCATGATAAGGTGGGTGCCAATATCAATATTCTTTTAATTAATTTAAAATAAAAATAAAAAAAATAAAAAGTTAAAGTAAAATTCCCATCTTAATTAAAAAAAAAAAAGAATATAAATAGTAAATCAACTAGATAATGTAAAACCAATGATAGTATTATTAATTATAGAAAGAAATCAACTATATTAAAACAATAAATGAACCAGGGTGATATTAGTAATAGTAATAGTAATAATAGTAATAGCAATGATGATATAAATATACAGCCACAACCATTATTAAAATCAAATGTAACTCGTCCACCAAGATCAATTGGCTTTTTAGGTCTAATTTCGATTGGTTATTTTCTCGTATCGGGTGGACCGTATGGTATAGAATTAGTTGCAAGCACTGGTAGCTATGTGTACGTTTTGTTAACTTTTATATTTTTACCATTTATTTGGTGTGTTCCAACAGCATTAATCACAGCAGAACTTAGCTGTATGGTAAATGAAGATGGTGGATGTTCATTGGTAGGTTATATTTAAATTAAATTAACTATTTATTATTTATTTATATTAATACATTTTTTTTTAGTGGGCACAAAAAGCATTTGGTGAGCATTTCAGTTTAGTGGTTGGGCTATTTTCGTGGTTTGCATGCACAGTTGATTTGTCTCTCTATCCTGTCTTGTTTGTATATTATCTGTCTAAACTTTTTATTGGAACCGAATATGAAAACTGTAAATGGGGCGGTCAGCTATCAGATTGTTATTGGTGCACATTTTTAATATCCATGGGTGTTATCATCATACTATTTCTTATAAATATCTGGGGCACTGAAAAGGTTGGTATATTTGGCACAGTATTTTCAATCATTCTATTGGTGCCATTCATAATCTATATTGGTATGGGAATTGGTAAAGTTAAAATGGGTCAAATTCTATCGGTAGACGGCGGCATTAAAAACTTTACTGGTGTTAAATGGGGTACTCTAATAACGACAGTGGTCTGGTCAATAAGCGGCTACGACCAATTTGGGCAGCTTGCAGGTGAAGTTAAGAATGCTAAAAGAAACTATCCAATGGGTGTAATTACAGTGATGGTACTTTCTATTTGTTTCTATCTGCTATCGTTAATTGTTGGAATGCAATTTGAAAGAAATCCAAATGAATGGTATACTGGGGAATTCTCTGATATTGCAATTTCGGTTGGTGGCAAATGGCTGGGAATTCTGATGAGCATTGGTGGAATGGCATCTTCAGTCGGTTTGTTTCTGTGCAACCTTAAAGCAATAAGCAATAATCTTTACAGTCTATCACTTAGAGGTCTATTACCAAGTTTCTTTTCAAAACTCTTGCCCAAAAGAAAAACACCATACATTGCTACAATATTCAACTCCTTCATAGTCTCTCTATTAATACTGTTTCCCTACGAATCTATACTAAACCTAGATATGGCCACATATAGCATTGTTATTGCATTTGAGTGTATTATTTATATAAGGCTCTATATCAATAACCCTGACTATAAAAGACCCTACAAAGCTATACCAACGAAATGGTTACTACCCTATTTATCAACACCAATCATTATAACCATTGTAATATTCGTTTTGGCTCCCAAAAATATAAAATGGAATGTAACAGTATTTGCAGCTGCCATCATACTTGTAGTATTAACAAGATACTTTTTTTTAAAATATAAACTAAAAAAAAAAGAAAAAAAAGATAACAATAATAAAGATTTAATAGTAATTAGTTATTATTAAACCATACATCTATAAATACACAAAAATATATATGTTATTTCAAACTATAAAAAAAATTACCAAAAAATCTTTTGGTTTTTTAAAAAAGATAATTATTTGAATTTTTAAAATATACTTTTTTTTTAAAAGAAAATTAACCCATGAAATTTTATTAAAATCAAATTAAAATCAATATTATTTGTAAATTGAAATTTATTTCAAATAAATGATATATTATTTTGATGTTGTAATTATTGAATAATTTTTATTTTTAGCTTTGATACTACATCCCATTTCAACCTCGCAACAAATAGAAACATGTTGTTATTTACATTTTAAAATCAAAAGATTTTTTTATTATTTCGTTTTCGATGAACAATTATTTATTTTTTAAATTTTTTAATCATTAACAACCTTACTAACATCTTTTAATGATTCTTCAAGATTTACAATATTTTGATTATTTGAATTGTGAGGAGCATCTTCATACTTTTTGATATCACATTCTAAAATTTGAAACATTTTAATTGCTTCATCTCTTTCTTTTGTTATTTGATCCAATTTCTTATTCTTTTCATCAAAACAAGCTTCTAAACTACTAATTGTTGCTTTATATTGATCGAGTTGACGAGACTTTTGGTCCATTTCTTTTTTCAGTTCTTGATATTGATTATCTGATTGAATCTGTAATTGTTGATATTGATTTTTTAAATCCTCTTCTTTATTCTTAAATTGAATAATTGTATTTTGATAATGAGCATCTTCTTGTTTTAATTGTTCTATCTTTTTAATTAATTCTTGATTTTCATTATTTAACTGTTGAATTTCATTATTTAATTGTTGATCAATCTTTAATTTTTTCACTTTTTGATTCTCTATAGCTGTGTTGATTTTTCTCTTTTTTGAAGCTAGTAACTCTATCAACTCACCATTTAATTTATCTAATTGTTGTTTATCTACATTCTTTCTCTAAATGATAATAGTAATTTAAATTTCATAATTAGATATCTATCTATATAGTTTTATTATAATATATATATTAAAATAATATTTAATATTTACAATTAAATAAAACCTATTCTTGGTATTTCTAACATCATAATCTGTAATTAAATAGTTTCTCACTGAAATTATATCCATATAAAATCTTTTTGAATAAATTGATTGTGGGCTTGTAATATCTTCATTAAAACACGATACATGTTGATCTGGTTTTAATTTATCATAAGTCGACTTATTTATCTTTTCATATTCTAAATTGAGTATTTGACCAAAAAGTTGTTTTAACTCCGGTGTTGAAAGTTTATTATATCTTTCTGGACTATTACTATTATTATTATTATTATTATTATTATTATTTGAAGTACTATTTTCTAATGTTGAATTAATATTTGATGTATCTATTAAATGAATAATAAATAATGATAATTAATAATTATTGTTGATTTATTTTATGTGTTTTATATTTACCTTTAATACTATCACTGTCATTGCTACTATTTTCGATGTATTGATATAATTATCACCAATATTATTTGGAATTAATGATGACATTCTATTTGTTTAATGATATTTTAAAAAGTATTAATAGAGGAGAGATGAAACCAGACTCTATAAAAATATGAAACTATGTATTTGATTAATGAAACTATTATTATTAAATGCAATTAATTATTTTTAAAAAAAATAAAAAATAAAAAAAATAAAAAAAATAAAAAAAATAAAAAAAAAAAAATAAAAAAAATTTTTTATTTCTTAATTTTTTTTTTTTTTTTTTGACACCCTTTGATTTTTTAAAATATACTCTTTTTTTTAAAAGAAACAACCCATGAAATTTTATTAAAATCAAATAAATATTATTTGTAAATTCAAAAATTTCAATTTATATCAATTATCAAAATTGAAATTTATTTTATATATATATATTTTGGTGTTGTAATTATTGATTAATTTTTATTTTTAGCTTTAATACTACATCCATTTCTTCAACACCCTCACAACAAATAGAAATATGTTGTTATTTCCATTTTTAAAATCTTTTGATTTTTTTTTTTTATTTTGTTTTTTTCAATGAACAATTATTTTTTTTTTTTTTTTTAATTTTTTTCAAAATTTTTTTTTTTTTTTTTTTAATTTTTTTTTTAAAATTAAAAAAAAAAAAATTTAATTTTTATATATTAAAAAAAAAAATTTTTAAAAAACCTTTTTTTTTATTTTATAAAAAATATAATAGGGAAGGTTTTCTTAAAGGAAATTGGAAACGGATTAAAAAAATGAAAAAGAAGCAGTTTCCTTTTGGGTAAAGGGGACCAATTCCGGTGCCCGCCCATCAAAGAGAGAGGAGGGGGGAACCGACCCCACCTTCCACTAAAAAATTGAGAAATTACGGAACTTAAGAAACAGACCGGGGGTGGAACAATTTTTTCCGGGATTCATAATGGGGAGGAAGGGTTGCGTTGGGCCCGAAGATATCTTTGTCTGATAGTGAATCGGAATCAGATTCTGAATTTTTCCTTAGACCCCAACGTCATTCCAGTCCATCATTTAGCTCATCCAATGGAAATAAACAATCATTAACCCAAAGAAAAATTCATACTGGTTCAAACAATGGCAACAATAATCAAAATGTCATTCCACCAGCCTCCATTTCATCATCCACTAGTTCAAACGGATCTACCCCTTTAGGCGCTCTCAAATCTGATGAAACTAAAGAAAATGAAAAAAAACAAATGACAATGAATGGTTTATTTACACTACGTCCATCAATTCTTAGCAGCGAAGCTACTGGAGCTACCTATAGAGGTTTCTTAAATCTTTTATTAATTTTATTAGTAAGTATATTTATTTATTTATTTTATACAATACAAATAAATATATATTAACAATCATTATTAATAGATTACAGCTAGTTTTAGATTAGTAATTTTAAATCATATGCTATATGGTGTTAGAATTAATTTCGATTTATATAAAATTTCCGAATATCATAGATGGCCAGGTGTTATGATTACTCTCAGTTTTAATTTATTTATTATTGCAGCCTATCTTATCGAAAAAGCATCAGCTCTTCAAAAGATTCCAGAGAAGTTTTGCTACATTCTTAGAATTTTAAATTGTGCTGGTATTATCTTTATCCCAAGTGCATCTATTATTGCATTCCATCCAAACCCAGCTTCAGGTATTGTAGTTATGATCATTACCTGTACCTTTGGTATGAAGATTATTAGCTATGCCTACGAAAATAGCAAACAACGTAAATTAAATCCAGATAACAAGAAATTTATAGCAAATGGTGATACTTCAATCTATCCAAATAATCTCTCACTCAAAAACGTATATTGGTTTATGTTAATTCCAACTTTAGTTTATCAACTCTCATACCCAAGATCACCATCCATCAGAAAAGGCTATTTACTCAGAAGAATCGTTGAAGCTATTAGTTTATCCCTCTTGATTCTTTGGATGGCCAATCAATATATGTTACCATTAGTTCAAAATAGTATTTTACCAATGGAACAATACGATATTGTATTTATTGCTGAAAGAATTATGAAATTATCTGTAAGTAGATTGCAATATATTTTTTAATACTTTTAAAGACCATTTATTAATTTAATTTTTATTCTACAGTTACCAAATTTATATGTTTGGTTATTAGGCTTTTACGTATTTTTCCATTTATATTTAAATATTGTTGCTGAAATTACAAGATTTGGCGATAGAGAATTTTATAGAGATTGGTGGAACAGTACAGGTTTAGATTATTTTTGGAGAACTTGGAACATGCCAGTACATCATTGGATGGTAGTTTTAATCTATACTCCAATGAGAAGAAGAGGTTTTTCAAAGAATTTAGGTTACTTTATGTGTTTCTTTGTTTCTGCTATTTTCCACGAATTAGTAATTTCAATTCCATTCCATTCATTAAAACTATGGGGTTTCTTTGGTATAATGAGCCAAGTAAGTTTATTTAAAATTTATAATTAAATAATGAATAATATTTAAATATATTATACTAATTCCTTTCTTTTTTTTTTTTATAATATATAGATGGTTTTAATTGCATTAACTAAAAACTTAATGAATGGCAGAACATTAGGAAATGTCATCTTTTGGATCAGTATAGTACTTGGTCAACCATTAATCGTTTTATTATATTATCGTAATTTTGTAGAAGAAAATCCAGAATATTATCAAAACAATACTCCAGCTACTATCCCAACTATGCCATTTTATTAAATTAATAAAATAACAAAATTATAATTTTAGATAAATTTTTTTTTAATTAAATATTTCTTTTTTAAAAAAAAAATGTTATAGTATTTTATTTATTTTAATTTTATTTATAATACATTTTTAGTGTTGTTTTTTTATTCTGATGCTGTAGTTGTTAAGCTTGTGAAAGTACAGAGTTTTTATCCATAAAGTTTAAGGAAACATTCTGTGCAATAAGGTTTATCGCCTTGCTTCTTATATGCTACACCTGAAAGATTTGATTTACAAAAAGTACAGAAGAAATGTTCTGGATGATAACGTGATGATCCAACACTAATACATTTTCCTGAAATAATTGGTTTATCGCAATGTTTACACAAATATCCAATGGCTTCATAATAATGTTTTTCGCAATATGGAGTTTTGTCATCTGTATGAAAAAAATTACCATTTAATAATACCTGAATATAATTTTAAAATTAATATATTTTTACTATTGTTTTTGTGTTGTTATAGTTGTTGTTATTATATTATTTCTATTCTTTGAAAATAGTGTTGATCTCTAATATTTGTTATTTGATACATTACATTACATGTATTACATTGAAAGTGTTCTGGATGATAAGTTGAACCTAAAGCATTTGTAATTTCACCTAAAATAGCGTGATTGCATTTTTTACATTTTGGTGCAAATTTATCCAAGAAATCTTTTGAACAGTATGCAAATCCATCTGGACCCTCTTCACATCTACTTCCATCACTAAAATCCTTGTTACTAAAAAAAAAACAAAGTTAATATTTTAAATTGTATTTATTAAATTATTTCAATTCAGACTTACCAAACATTACAAGCTGAAATTGATAATACAAATTAAAATGATTTAATATAAGGAAAAAGAGAGGTTAGATTGGATTTTAATTACTACTAACTAGATTTATAAATAAATTATTTGAATATTACCAATGTGGAATGGATGCCATTGTAGGCCAAATGCTGATAAGCAAATATCAGTGATTGGTTGTTTGCAACTGTAACAAATTGGTACTGAAGTTGTAAACATATTTTATAAATAGATGGTTATTAAATTATAAATATAAAAATATTGATTGAAATAAAAAATTAAAAATTAAGAAAAAATTAAAAAAAAAATTTTTAAAAAAAATTTTTTTTTTTTTTTTTTTTTTAATTTTTTGGTGTTTAAAACACACACAAACAGATACAAAAAAAAATTTTATTTTTTACTTTTTTAAAATAGATAATATGTGTATTTATATATAAATATATATTAAATAATAAATTTAAATTTTCAACTTAATATAAAAAAATGTAAATTCTTTTTTAAATTGTTAAATTATTTATCCATCACAATTTAGATTTTTATTTTTTATTTTTATTTTTTTAATTTTTTTTTTAATTTTTTTTTCGTTTTTTATAACATTTTTTTTGTTTTTAATTTTTTTTTTTTTTTTTTTTTATTTTCGTAGACGAAACTAAATATACAATTTTTTTTTTATTTATTTATATTTCTTTTATATTATTATTTATTTAAACAAATAGGATAGAAAAAAAAAAATGGATAGATATATGAATAGACTCGAAAATTTAACAGGTCATTTATTAACTACCAATGAAGTTTCCTCAACCACCAACGAAAATGAAACCATTACTTTTGTTAGACCATTACCAAAAAGTAAAAAAGATCACGATCTTACAATTGAATCCGATGGATCGTATGTATAATATAACAAATGGATATATCAAATAATGGTAATATTAACATAATAAAATTTAAAATGAATATAGATTTACTAGAGAAAAACATTTTGAAGAAGAATTAGATGTTTCTGGTGAAATTAATTCACAAACAAATAAATTTGAAATTAAACCAGTACCATATACATTATCATTTGATCAAGGTTTTTTCCATGCCATTAGAGCTATTGAATTGTTATCAGAACAAGACCCAAAAAGAACTATTATTTTAGGTATTGCTGGTCCAGTTGGTGCTGGTAAATCAACTTTAGCAAATAAAATTGGTGGTCTTGTCAATGGTATTATTGTTTCCCTTCAAGATTTTGTTAAACTCGAAAATGTTAAAGATAATAATTATGATGATCCAGTATTAATTGATTTTGATAGAGTTGTTGTAAGTTTTACTATTACTACTATTACTATTTAAATAATTATATATAATAGATTTAACAGTTTACTAACATATTACTATTTATAGTCAACATTAAATGAATTAAAAGAAAATAAAACAGCAACTATTCCAAAAATTGTAAATAGAAAAATGGAAGATAAGACAGTTACACTTAAAGATTCAAAGGTTATTATTTTAGAAGGTTCATATGCATTGAGTGCACGTATTAGACCATTATTAGATATTAGTATTGCTATTACAGGTGGTGTCCATTTAGATCTCATTAAAAGTATTATGAGAGGTATTGTTACAAGTAAAAACTCAAGTAAAGAAGTATTATCACAAATCACCAATGTAGTATTCCCAATGTTTAAAGCATTCGTTGAAGCAGATCTCGATCAAGCTAAAATCAAAATCCACAGTAGTTTCAATCCAATGAGCCAAGTAGTAGAACCAACATATGTTTGCAAAGCTAAATATGAAAATAATAAGGTTCATTTCGATCAATTCCTTTCATCATTAAATGTACAACCAGTCAAAAAGAACTTTAGTGATATGTATTTATACCCACCAAAATACGGTGCCGATGGTATCTCTCAAGCCGATAAGAGAAATTGGATTCGTATTCGTCGTTCTGATGTTGGTCAATTCAATATTTACTTTTACAATGAAATTATGGATGGTGCTGTTAATACTCGTCCACTCTTAAACTTTGAAATCTCTGTTAAAACTATTGGTGGTCTTTTATCTTTAGGTTATCAAATTGGTGCAATCTTAAATCGTACTGTCGAAGTTTGGTATGAAAAGAGTGGTATCGTTGTCACCAAAGAATACATTAAAGAGTTGGAAAAACATTTCATTCAAATCAAAGGTCAAAGTCGTAGAGAAGTTTTAGATTTAGCTGAAAAATTAAAAATCACTGGTAATCACGTTCCACAAACCTTCCTCTATCTCTATTTCAAAAAATTAAAGAAAAACAAAAACCCAAATTCAAAATTAAAACCAAATAATACAAATTCTAAAATTTCAAAATCAAATAAAATTGTAAAAGAAAATAATAACAAAAAATAAATAAACCACACAAATACAATACAAATACAAAAACAAATATAAATATAAAAATAAAAATAAAATTTTCAATTTAAATTTAAATTAAATTAAATTAAATAAATACAAAATAAATTAATATTATCTTTATTATCTTTATTTTAATAATCATTATGAGTTGTAGAAGAAATTAACATGCACATGTCATCAAAGAATGAATCTTTATGTAAAAGTAAGATTCGCTTTTTTTTATGAACTTCTGATCTAAAGTTTTCTATATTATACTTAAATAGATGCACTATGAATAGAATGTGTTCTAAATTATTATTTTCTTCTATTGCCTTTTTTAAAAAAGGTAATCCACTATCATCTCGCATTTCTATTTTAACTTTTTTTAAAGATTTTGAGCAACATTTAAATAAAGTTGAAAAAATTGGTATTTGTGAAAAAATATCTATTTGTTGGATAGGTATGTAGCGATTAGGTTTGCATAATTTAAAAACAAAATATTCAATTCCATTATTATTTTTATCATTAGCTTCTATTTGTCTTTTAGTATTATTACTATTATCTACAGTTGATTGAATTATAAAGCAAATAAGATTTGAATAGTTAATATTTCCATTTTTAAAGTTGGTTACTTTTAATTTCTTTAATGATGGCATTTTTGGAGGATATACCAAATAGTTTTCTAATGGGTAGTGTTTTTTAGAGGAAACACAATGCCTTGATCCATCGATTGGGAAATTTTCGCAAATTACAAAACATTTTTCAATTTTCGAAAAATAATAATCTACTGTTGATTTATCTTGGTAATATGGTAACCCTTTAATTGAATAGTAGTTGAAATATCTTGGTGGCTCTTTTACTAGACAAAACTGGTTTGATATGTTGAATGGCGAATACCAATAATACTTTCCCTCCCCGACTATATCTGAACAAGCTTTAAAAAAGTATTTGGAAACTAATGCATATTTTAAAATATCGCCTTTACTTGGGGTATAGGGTTGTGTGTGGCTCCAGAGTAATTCATATACTTTTTTCTTTGAATATAAATAGTTATTTATGTTGTAATTTAAAATTTTTTTATAAAGTATATTTGGAAGTTTAATATTATTTTTATTATCGTTATTGTTATTATTATCATTATCATAATTGTTAATGTTATTGTTATTGTTATTATTATTATTATTATTATTATTATTATTTGATTCCTTTTGTTCTACGTAATATAAATAGGAGAGTATTATTTTTGGTATCTTGTTACTATTTGGGTTTAAAGTTAACTCTGCATGAATATCTTTATATATTAATGGGGTTTTATCAATATTAGTTTTGAATTTATCTATCATAAATTGCAAATGATTAGGATTTGATTGAGAGTTTCTTATAAACCATTCATTAAACTATTTTAAAACAAAATAATAAAGTTAATAAAGATTCTATCAAGATTATAATAAAATTAATTTAGAATTAAATATTTACCCTTTTATCTTTGACAATATAATCTGTAACTATATCAACATTATATTCCGAATAAGTTGATGATGTACACCTGTGGCCAATTTGTGAATTAACTCTAAAAAGTGATGATACTTTTATTGATGGGTCAAATAAAATATTTGCACAAAATTTTATATAACCATTGAAATCTACATAATGACAATACTTTTCTGAGTGGTATGAAAAGAACAGTAAACCAGAAATGAACCTTACTAATTCTATATCGTTGTATTCTTCATACCAAGATATAACCTCTACCAATTCATTGAATGTGAGCGCTGACTTTATTGTTCTTTCTCGAAAAAAATGGCAAAGTATGTTTCCAATGCCTTCTATTTTATATTTATAAACTGCACAAAATTGTTGAATTTTATTTGGTAAAATTACATGTTTTTGGATTTTAAAAACTTCTCCGGCATAATTTAAACCTGATACACGTACTGTATTAAAAGTGTTGGTGCACTCCATTTTTAAATAAAATAATGAAAAAAAAAAATATTAAATTAATATTTAAAATTTTATAGATTTTTTTTTGAAAAAAAATGAAAAAAAATAAGAAAAAATTTTCTGTTGCTCTACCTCAAAACTAGCCAATGATAATAGCTATATATAATAGATAAAAAATCAATTAATAGTGGTATTTTATATAATTTTTTTTAATATTATGGAGGGGTGTAAATTATTTTTAATATGTGTGTTAAAATAAAATTATTTCAATTATTTATTAATTTTTACTTTTTTTTTTTTTTTTTTTTAATTTAAATGTAAATTTAAAACATAAATTTTTTTTTTTTTTTTCATTTCCATAATATTGTCTCTCTTAAATACAACTAATAAAAATAATTATAAAAAATAATTTAAAAAACATGAATAATAGTAACAATAATTTTACAAATAATAATGATATCAGTATAGAAAATATAACAAATAATAATTTTTTTATTAATCAAGAATTAAAAGAAGAAAAAGAAATAATAGACAATATTATTATAGTATTGAAAAAATTAATAAAACTAAAGAAATTTGATCCATTGTTATTAAAAAAAAAAATAAACACTGATTTTATTGAAAAAGAAATACTAGATTATGAAACAGTTAAAGAATTATATGGTATTCAGTTATTTTATACAACAAATGAAACGCTATTTGAACAGGCATTTAATGAAATAATATTTTCACCAATTTTACAGTCTTTAATATTAATATCAGGAATAATGGTCAATAACAATTTGGGTGAACCAATCAACTACTATTCAAAAGAAATTTTCAAAGATGAAAGGATATATTTTAACTATAAAAAGCCAAGAGATGGGTTAATGAAAAAAGCAATCGAAGAAATTTATTTAAATGATTTAGAAGCCATAGTAGATATTTTAGAAATATTTCAAAGTAACAAGAATAGTTTAACTAGATCTCAAGTAGATAAAGCAATGTACAACTATATTGTTATGGCCAAGTTTTATGGAGGAAATATTTTTCTCAGCGACTTAAAAGAAAAAGGATGGGAATTTAATGAAAAAAATGAATATCCAACTTTGGAAAAAATCCAAACCCTTAGAAAGTTACAACTTATTGGTCAATACTCGAAACTTTTCCACCCATTTGTTTTGCTTAACTGTGGTTCAGAAGTATTATTTCCATTATTACAATATAAAAACATAAGAAATATAATATCAATTTTGTCAGCAAAAGACTTAACAATGCTAATGAGCCAAAGCCACCAATTTTACAACAACTTAAACAACGATATAAAAGAAACTATCGAAATTTTGAAAATTGTTTATGAATCAAAAATTAATATAGAAGACACTACATGGGAAAAAATTTCAAAGATTACTTTTTATATAGACAAGGATCAACAAAAAGTATTTAATGGCTTAAAAGAATTTGAAAATCTATTTCCCAACACCACTAAAATTACAAATAATACAAACTCTAATAAAGAACCCTCAACAACCATAAAACTACCAAAACTAAATCAAATTCCCCAGGATGATAACAATCCAGAAAGAATTCAATACAATGAATATAAGAAGCAAATTAAGCAATGCTCAAGCGAGAATCATCGTGATATTAAAGATATTTCAAATAAAAAGAAAGAATTAAAAGAAAAAATTATCTATGGGTATTTATTAAACAATCTTTTAATAAATAAAGAAGATTTAATCAACCTAAAGTTTCAAAGTGATCAAGAAATATTAAAAACCTATACCAATAAATTTTCTAAAAAATATAAAAAATTTATTGAAGAGAACAAAACCAAATTTTCAACCTTAAACAACATTATATCATCTGAAGAGGCAAATAAAGATTATGATTGGGATAATGAACCAACAACTTTAGAACTCTTATTTCATAGTAATCATAAAATCAATATAAAAACATTACAAGATAAATACAAATATCGTTATGATAAGCTAATCAATATTTCGCAGATAATCGAATTATTAAAGCAATTTACAAATATCAAAGCCACATTCCAACTTTTAGTATTTAGAAAAACCCTATCAAACTATATAAATGAAAGCGAAAGACAAATATTTAACCAGTGGCCCAATAGATTTATCGAAAACTATCAAAGCAAGTATCAAATTCAAAGATTCCAACTACCATTATTTCAAAGTCAGCAAGACCTTAGTGATCATCTCAACTACTACATAGAAAACTCCAAACACTCTGTGAAGTGTGAAATCAATAATTTAGAAACCAATTTTATAGAAGAGATAAAAGCCAAACCAGAAATCATTGAAAAACTAAAACAATTGCACTTCTCAATAGAAAACAATTGGTTGGGATTATTTGAAATAAGAAAAAATATCAATTTGTGTCAAAAGAAAGTTACTTTAATAAATGAATCCCAATGGCTTGAAGATGGTATAGAAGAGATTAAATCAATTGTTAATCAAGAAGATTTAAACTGTGTGGAATTTTTAGTATATCTTTGTTATGAAGCCATTATAGATGAACTCGATTTCAAAGAGTTTAAACCATTTTCAAAATCTCTTCAAACCATAAAGAACTATTTCTCACACTCATCCCTAAACTACAATTCATTATTTCCACTAGATAACCTAAAGCCATTGGGAGCTAACCAAAGCAATCGTATATCAAAATCAATTGCAATTCTATTACAATTAAATTATTTAATTGAACCATCAATTAAAATTTTAAAAACCAATTTAAATTTATAGAAATAAAAAAATAAACACAAAAAATAATAAATTATTTTTATAGATTTTTAAATATTATTATTAATTTTTTTTTTAGAAAAGAGTTTTTATTTTAAAATTTATTATTATTGTTATTATTATTACTTATTTATTATTTATTATTACTTTTAAATTATTTAGTTGGCGTTTTGGATCTTTCTGCATAATTCATCAGTATAATCGGTACATGATGATTTACCACCCATATCACCAGTCATAATTTTACCTTCACCAAGAGTAGTTAAAACGGCACTTTCGATTTTATTGGCGTGAGTATTTAAACCAAGATGACGTAACATCATAATACCAGATAATAAGAGAGCAGTTGGATTTGCTTTATTTTGACCAGCAATATCTGGGGCAGTACCGTGGACAGCTTCAAAGATAGCAGTACCATTTTCACCAATATTACCAGATGGGGTTAAACCTAAACCACCAATTAAACCTGCACATAAATCACTGACGATATCACCATAAAGATTTGGAAGAACCATAACATCTAATTGAGCTGGATTTAAAACTAATTGCATACAGTTGTTATCGATGGTTAATTCTTCGTATTTAACAGTTGGATAACGAGTGGCAACTTCTCTGCATGATTTAACGAATAAACCATCAGATTGTTTCATGATATTGGCTTTATGAATGCATGTGACTTTCTTTCTACCGTTGGCTAAGGCGTATTGGAAAGCATAGTTGGCAATACGAGTTGAAGCTTCTTTGGTAATGATTTTAATTGATTGAGCAACACCTTTAACTGGCATATTTTCGATACCTGAATATTCACCTTCAGTGTTTTCTCTAATGACAACAGTGTTGACATCATCGTAACGAGTTTTGTGACCTGGAATTGAAAGACATGGTCTAACATTAGCGTATAAACCAAAAGTCTTACGAAGACCTAAATTTAATGATTGATGACCTGTACCAATTGGGGTTGAGATTGGACCCTTTAAACCGATTTTATTTTTTCTAATTGATTCAGCAACTTCTTTTGAAATACCAGTGTTGGCATCAACAACAACTGTTTCCCATTCAATTGGTACTTTAGCAGCTGCAAAAACTTTTTTAACTGATTCTGAAATTTCTAAACCAATACCATCACCTGGAATTAAAGTAACTTTTTGAATTGGTTGAGTTGAATAGTTACGTAAAACCTAAATTATTATTATTATAATTATTTGTTTTGTTATTAAAATAATTATTTAACGATTTGATATTAATTTAATTTGATAGTTTTTTTTTTTTTTTTTTTTTTTTTAATTTGATTTAAAATTTCACCATTTTGATTTTTGGGGGTTTCGTTTTTTGAATATAAAATTATTATTGAAGGAAAATAAAAATAAATTAGTTTTTTTTTTTTTTTTTTAATTAATTAAAAAAATTAAATTTTAATTAAATCAAAAATTACATTTGAGAAAGTGGATAATTTTTTTGAAAACCTTTTTTTTTATTTGTTATCGTTATTTCACAGATAATTAAAAAAAATAAAAAAAAAAAAAAAAATTTTAAAAATAAAATAAAAAAAAAACAAAAAAAAAAAAATTAAAATTTTTAAAAAAAAATAAAAAATAATTTTTTTGTAATTCGTTTATCATTATAATGGCGAATAATTTTCATTGGTGTCATTATTTCATGATTAAATTTTGGTACTAAACTAACTTTAACTTAAACTTTATATATCTAATGAATAAAATAAAAATAAAAATAAATTATAAAATCAACTATTAATGGTTAAAAATTTTTTTTTTTTTTTTTTTTTTTTTTTTTTTTTAATTGATTTATTAACTTAAATATTTTACTACATAAATATTATATAATATACATTGTTTTATTTAAATTATTTTTAATTCTATGTGCTTATACACAAATGAATTTTTTATACATTGTTGGTCCTATTTTTTTTCTGTAAAATTACCATGACCACTTAAAGATGCGTGAATTGCTGCTTCTTTTTCACCTTTTAGTGCTATTTGGAAAAAAAAAAAAATGGGATTAATATTTTTTTTTTTTTTTATTCTTTTATTTATATATTACTTACTTTTATTACAATCCAAACATAATAGCATAAAATTGGTGGTATCAGTGTATTTACCTAGCTTCTTTTCATTTTCAACAAACTTTTTTAATTTATTTAAAGATTCTTTGTCGTCTACACTAAATCTTGTGATATCAAAATCTTCACCCCCATTTCTTGTTAAACATATTGATAAGGCATCATAATGGATTCCATCATAAATTAAATATACCCTTTCAGTATAGTTTTTATCTTCGCCATAACAGTACATTATTTGAGTTGATATATCGAATGCTGCTATTTCAACTTTGTAGTGATTTGATAGGATTGATAATTCAATAGCCCCACCCCAATGGTTTGGATTTAAAATCCAGTTACAATAACCTGCATTTGATTTTCCTAAAAAACCTTCGTTATATTCAAATGGATCACCTAGATAAAATTGAAGTTAGTTATGATATTCATTCATAAATTTAAAATAAAATCTATATTTACTTCTAACCACTTGAGCAATTAATTGTCTTAATTGACCACCCTTCCATCTGCTTTTATCTTCTAAAACATATGCAACGGCAGAGAATAAACAACTATTATCATCATCGGTGATTCTTCTTGTTGCAAATCCATTACCTACCTCTTCTTCTGACATGTATGGTTCTGATTTATTATTACTATTATTTTTGTTTGATGTACTATTACTACTTAGGGTTACAGCTGGGGCTGGTGTTGGTGATGTTAGTGCTGTTGTGTTTTCAATTGTTATAGTATCGCCATTTGATAGAAAGTTTGATATTGGTGCATTTGGGTTTGATAAATCTAAAGATTTTGGTGGAAAACCATGTAATACTAAAAACAACAAAAAAAAAAAATTAGGATTGGTGATTATTATATATATTTATTGATTCTATTACTTTTTTGATGTTCTGGTTTTGTTGATGTTTTTTCATCAATAATTTTTTGAAAATCAATAATTTGGAGCTGAGAATCAACTTTTAAATTTTCTACACCTGTTTTACTTCTAATTCTAATTGAAATCATTTGATTTATTTATTAAATGGAATATTTATTTAGTGAGTTTATTTATGTATGTGTTAATGTGTATGTGTGTATTTGTTTAAAAATATTAAAAAAAAAAATTATTTAAATTAATGAAAAAAAAAATTATTTAAATTAATGAAAATTATTAAAAAAAAAAAAAATTTTAAAAAAAAAATAAATTAAAAAAAAATTTTTAATTTTTGTAATTAAATTTTCATTCAAACTTTTTTTTTCAAATAAATAAAATAGGTAAAATTAAACACTGTTTAATCAAAAAATTAATATTTTCCTTTTTTTATTATTTTTCCCTAAAACGTAAAAATTTAAAAAAAAATTAATTATTATTTATGATTTGAATTCCAAGAACATCATAGTTTTATTTTGTAGGTTATAAGTAAAAGTATAGTCATATGACACTTTTTTATTTTTAATAAGCTTATTAAATAATAATTATTATAAATACTAATATATACTAATTGTTTTTTTAAAATAATAATCTAAAATAATAAATTAAAGATAAAAAAAAAACTATAGATAATATTATTAACATAAATGGAATCCTCAATAATAGTTTTTTTAAAGATATAATTTATTTTATTAAATAGTTTTAAAACAAAAAAAAATAAATATTTAAACAACTAAATTTCATACATTTTATAATTCACATTTATTATTTTATCAAATAAAAAAAATGAAAATTATAAACTTAATTGCTATTTTACTTTCAATTTTAATTGCTTCTCATGCAACAATTGTAAATATAATATTTTACCAAAAAAAAAAAAAAAAAGAAAACGTTTCCAGAAATTAAAAATTTAACTAATTTTTTATTTTATTATAGGCATGTCAAACTTCTTATGATTGTCCAGGACAATATTGTGTTTTTACACCAAAAGGAAGTTTATGTACTGGCTTGGGTAATTTAAATACTCTTTGTTCAACCTATCCAATTAGCGGCGGTGTTTATTTCCAAGGACCTCCATGTGGATATAATTTGACCTGTAAACCCCATCCAAGAGAATCTTGCTATAGCTCATGTCAAGTATAATAAATCATATATTTTATTTTAATATTCCAAATGAATAAAAATAAACCATATATTTCATTTCTGATAAAAAAAAAAGATATCCCATTTCGTTTTTTTTTTATTTTTTTAAAAAAATTTAAATTTTGTAAAATTTTTAATTTTTTTTTTTTTTTTCATATTTTAATTTTTTATTGTTTAAAACATCATTAGCAAAATGGATAATAGTGGTTTAGAGAATGCTAGTAGTACATCTACTAGCACAACCACTACAAATAATAGTGGTACAGCTACTAGCACAGCCAATATTAATAATAATGATTTTAATGATACAATTGATACAAGTAAAGAAAATTTTATAGCACCACCAACCATTAAAGTTATTCCATTTATTAATTCAAGAAAAAAAGAGATTAAGGAATTTATGAAAATGGTTCAAACTAAAAAAAGCAATTCAAGATCATTTCAAACTTTACCAAGATATCTTAGAAGAAGAACAATGAGTCACAATGTTTATAGATTACCAGTTCATTTAAGAAAAAAAGGTAAATACGAAATGGAAAAGTCAGCAACTTCTTCAGGTGGTAATTTAACAAAGGAAAAGAAAATGGTTAGAAAATCAAAGAGAAGACCATCCTATTTATTACGTGATTATGAAAGAAGACAAAAGCAATTTAAATGGTTAGAAACTCATATTTGGCACGCTAAAAGAATGAAAATGTTGAATTTGTGGGGTCATAAAATTGCAAAATCAATCAATCGTAAAGGTGTAAGATCCACATTTAGAGCATCCTCTCATTTATCCACAATATATGATAGCTCTTATTTCAACTGTATAGAAATTAAAGGAACTGAATCCAATATTATAAACTTTTTTAAAAGATTTACCGATCCAAATTCAATTTCAATTTCAAATAAAGGGTATTTAATTTTTCAAATAGTGAAATAATAATAATAATAATAAATATATTAACTATTTTTTATACTTTTATATAGTTTTTTAAATGGTAGCAGAGAAGGTTCAATCGATTTATATTATACAGATAGATTTCCATTTCATTTTATTTGTCCTACTAGATTTTTATGGAAGCAAGAAATCGAAAATGACAATAAAAATGTAAATAATAAAGAAAGAATGATTTGGATTTGGATTCACCCAGCAGCTTTAAACGAAATTACTTTTATTTTTGAAAAGAATGCAGGCGAATATAATTGTAATTATTTTAACTTTACCATTTCAAAAATTAAATTTCTTACTAATTATTAATTATTTTATATAGTAAATATTAATAATTTAGAACATGGTTTACAGAGATTTGAATTAACAGGTTCAAAATCACACGCAGTATTAAATTCAATTTTATTTTTAAGACAAGATAAAGATTCAGTAAATAATAATAGTAATCAATTAGACTCTAATCATGTTTGGGAGTTATTAAATAGTTTAAGAACACCAGCAACTTTACCAAAAGGAACAGTAATTTCATTAAAGGTACACGATCCTAGATTAGCATGTAAAATACCAACAGAAACAGCATTGTCAGCAAGAACAGTTTCAAAACCACAAATTAAAAAGCAACAAACAGCACAACCAACACAACAACATTCAATAAATCAAATTATTGTAAATTGGACACATTATTGTAAACAAGTAGCAGTTTCAGATTTATGGTGTTCAGAAAAAAGATCATCAATATCAAAAAATATTGAACCAAATAACTCTGTTAATCAAAGAAGAAAAAATGTAAATCATTATTTATTGTAAATATAAAATATTATTTATGGTTTATTAATTATTTTTTTATTTTTATAGTTAAAAGATTTTAATGAAATTGGTAGTAAATATTCATCACCAAGTATTATGTTAGTTCAAAGAGATGGTGGGTTAACACGTGGATATGGTTCAGGTTGGGATATTATCGTACCAGCAGGTTGGGGTTTAGCATTTTGGATACCGTTAATATATAGTGGTGCATGGTCAATTGGTTTGGAAGATAGGGATAGATTTTTATTAGAACAAGGTTTACCAAGTTATCCTAAGGATTTCCCAGATTGCAAAGCAGGTATAGAGTATAATCAATTATTAGCATTCATTAAACAAGAAAAATATAATAGAACTCCAAAATCTAAAAAAATCAATTATTTGAAAAATTCAATTTTCTTCCCATTTTCACCATATTGGGAATGGGTTTTAAAATTCAATAAAAATGAAATTTTAGATTTTAATATCAGTGGTGAACCAGAACAAAAAGAAGAGGAAAGTGAAAAAGAAGAAAATAAAGAAATTGAACACAAATCAAAGAAATTAAAAAATATTATTGGTACCGAAGGTGAAGTTGTATTAAAATCCCAACCATATTTTGTTTATAGAGGAAAATTGGCTTTATCATTAATCGATCCTGATAATTATCCAGTAATGAAAAGTAAATATCAACATTTTTAATATATTTTTAATTGTAATATTTTTATTAATTTATTTTGTTTTTATTTTAGATAGTACATATATACCATTTGATCAAGAATATATAAATAAACCAAACGATAGAGGATTATTACGTGTTAGTATTAAAATGTTTCATAGAGGCAAACCATTGCCAAATTCAGTTATATATGAACCATTAGAATCAGATGTAGAATTGTTGCAATATAAATACTATAAAAGAGATTACAGTCCAATCCAATTAGAATCACCAAAATTAAAAAAACTAAAGAAACCTTCAACCATTACAACCAATGATCTCTTTGAATATTATGATCAAATGGGAAGAAAACCAATTGGTTTCGTTACAAATGGTGAACAATCTTTAGCTAGAGGTTTCGGATCTGGTATCGGTTATTGTTCAGCCACCGAGTTTGTTAGAATTCAAAACTATTCAATAGAGTAAATATATTTCTATAATCTTTTTTCTTTTTTTTTTTTTTAAAATTAACTAACCACTAATTAATATTTATATAATATAGAAAAAATTATACACCCAAAGGTTTCGCATTTATCCAAAATCCAAAATCTAGAACTCTATATCCTGTTATTTTAACAATTCAACCTTAAAATTAAAAATAAACTAAATATAATAATAATCTTTTTTTTTTTATAACATTTAAATCTTGACAATTTATTTAAATTTTAACGTTTTTGGTTTTATTTATTCATATTATAATTATTATGTTGTTCGCTATATTGTTGTTGTTTGCTTGTGTTGTTGTTGTTGTTGTTGTTCGCTAATATATTATTGTTTATATTTCTTTATTTAAAATCTACCAATTGGAATTCTATATTTGTTTTTAATGACATTATGGAAATGGAAGTTGAATGGTGAGATACGTCTTTGAATTCTCTGTTATAATTTTAATCCAATATAAATATATTTTTGATGGTTGTATTTTTATTTTGCAAATAGTTTTAAAAAAAAAGAAATATAGTTAGTATTATATTGTGATTACTAATTATTGTACATTCATTATTGTCATTATTGTAATTTATTGCTATGGTTATTATAATAATAATAATATCATACAGTTTCTCTTTTACAATCTTCGACACTCTTTAATTGTTTTGAGCATTTTGAAGCATCAAAATCATTTTGTGATAAACAGGCACCTAAATCGGTAAAAAGTGGGATACATCCAACAGTTTCATTACGAACAACTGGGACTTTGTGTTTGAATCTTGGTGATAATTTGTATGGATTATCGTCTCTATCAAAACCCATTTTAATTTAATATGATTTAAATATGAAAAAAAAAAATAAATAAATTCGAAAATAAAAAAAAAAAAATAAAAACTATGAAAAAAATTTTTTAAAAAATTTAAAAAAAAAAAAAAAAATAAATTTTAAATTATTTAAAAATACGCAAATAATTTGATTAAAATTTTATAACAACAAAAAAACAAATAAAATAATTATTTATATAACTTAATAACCAAAATAATTAAATCAAATTAAGTTGTCTTCTTTTAAAAATTTTATTGGTTTAAAATTGGTTTTATTTTTTCTATTTTTTCTATTTTTTTCATTTTTTCGAGTTATTATAAGTGTGTTTATGTGTGTGAATAGAATATCGCGATGGAGGGAACATATGTGTGTTAATATATTTATACAATTATTATAATTTTTAATTTAAAATTTTAAACAAAAAATAATTTAATTAAATAAAAAAAAATTAAAAAAAAAATAATTATTAAATACATATTAAAAAAAATGCTATAAAAAAAAGAAATTTTAAAATGATTATTATTTTTTTCATTTTATATGCTTTGTAAACTTAGAAAATATATTAAAAAATGTAACTAAAACTATGAATATAGATAAATTATATTTTTAAATTTTATTAATTTTTTTTTTTATAGTATTTAAACCAGATAGACATTTAAGGAACACCTACCACGACTCACTATTTATAGATACATTAAATAGAAGTGACAATTCCACTTATTCAGCTTTTTTGTAACCATGATGACTATTAAAATTATAATTTTAATAAAATCAGGTTATAGCTGAGGGTTATTAATCAAAGTTACCTGCTCCATTTAATACAAATAAACAACAAGGTTGATCCTCCATATGGCCTTTCTACAAAGACCCCAACCACCACTATTATTCCATATTAAAAATAGTATTATTGTTGTTCATTAAAAAAAAAAAAAAAAAAAATATAAAAAAAAAAAAAAAAAAAAAATAAAAATTTTATGAAACTTTGTATTAAATAAAACTATAATAATATCTGAAGTTTTTTTTATTTCTAAACTTTATTTAAATATTTTGATAACTTTTCATTATTTTCATTTAATATTTTCTTTAGATTTGTACAAATGGTTTAAAAGATAATAGATTTTTATTACTATTTATAAAAAAATTATAATTGCTTTTTGGGATAATGTGGGTACATATTTTTTTTGTTTTTTAATCAGTAAAATAATAACTTATTAAGATAAATAGTTTTTTTATTATTATTTTTTTAACTGTTAATAATTATCAATTAAAAAATGAATATTATTTATTTAAATATATAAATAAATAATATTTTAATTAATAATTATTAAATTAAAAAAATGAAATTAAACAAAAAGCTTATAAATTATTGTGTTTTCTTTTTTATATTGGGTGTATATATAGTTTTAGGTGATAGTGGTATATGTGAAGTAAGGTCAAGTGTGGGGTTAGGTGGGAAATGCAAATTTTATGATTTCAAATGTGACTATACAATGTTTTGCAACTCTAAAAATAAATGTCAACAGCAATTAGAACTGGGGGGAAAATGTAAAAAGGACAGTCAGTGTTATGGTAACTATGGTTTTAAATTATCTGTGGGTAATATGTGTCAGTTAGAACTAAAAAACGGTGAAAAGTGTGGAATGGATCATACATTTTGCACAAATGGTACTGTTTGTATTAATGGTTTTTGTAAATTGAAATGTGGATGTAAATCAGATTCAGAGTGTCCCTTTAACCAATAATGTAACCTTAGGAATTCAAGTTGCACTAAATATGACCTAAACAAAGAATGTACGAAAGACTCCATGTGCCCATATTCACATTTATGCATAAAGGGTAAATGTGTTTTAAAATTTTCGTTAAATTGTACAAAAGTTTTAACAAAATAAAAAAATAATAAAAATATAGTTTAAATTTTTTACTCTTTATTTTGTTATTGGGATAAACTTTTCTAAAATATAATAAATAACATCTCCAGTTTTTACCAAGGAATCAAACCAGTCATTTAGTATTGCTACATAGTTAAACTCGACACCGTTTGAGCATAGGTCTATGGTGGAAGTTGAATTTATTAGAATTGTTAATGAGCATGGTTCATTTTCCATTTTATTAATGCATGTAATATTAAAGTTTATCGACTCTACCCCGCAAACCTGTACCAACCATGGTGTTTTACCTGTAATGTATTTGTTTTCACCAAACTCTAGTTTAATTTTGCTTTGAACTTTTGGGTCATGGGAGGCAATATTGATATTAATATCTTTATAATAAAGATCTTCATTGATTTCTAATCTAAATTCCTCTACTTGGTTAGGATAGCTTTGAAACTTGATCAAATCTACACTTGAGTAACCATCATTGCTGTTTATTGTTTTCCATTCCCTAGGCTGAGGATAGGGCCTTCCCTCATTGGATAACGAATAATAGTTTAGCTGTTTTGAGGAACAATGATAAAAAAAATTAAAATAAATTAAAAAAAAATAAAAAGTGAAAATTAATTTCATTTTTTTATTTCTTAAAAAACTATTTTATATATTTAAAATAGTTTTTATATTATTTTAAATATTATTATTATTATTATTATTATTATTTTAATATATAATGATATCGTTAAAAATAAAAATTAAAATTTAAATTTAAATCTTTATTATAGTATTGTAATTTAATTTATAAAAATAATCAAATTATTGAACATAGATGTAAAAAAAATAAAATACTATAGTATTAAAAAAAAAATATAAATATAAATAAATAGAAAATTATAAAAATAAAAAAAAATTTAATTTAAATCTTTATTATAGTGTGGGTGTGTGGGGTTTTTTTTTTATTTTATTTTTTCAAAGTATAATTAAAAATAAATATCATATTAAAATTTATAATTACAAAAAAAAATGATATCAAGATGACCAAAATAACAATATGAAGATTTACAAAAAAAGAATAATCATAAACTATTATAAAAAAATATGACAATATTTCTGTATTATGAAAAATAATATATCCGCTAAATTTTAATTTTAGTTTTTTAAATTATTAACTATTTATTATTATAATTTGTATAAAAATATATTATTTTAATTATTATTTTATTATCCATATTCAATTGATATTACTGCTATTGTTATTATTTCCATTATTATTATTAATTATTTTATTATTATTATTATTATTATTATTTTTATTATTATAAATTATTATTATGATTATTTATTTAACTTTTTTATATAAACCTAATGAATGAATTAAGGTTTTTGATTTAAAAATTGCATCATTGATACCGACACCTTCTAATGAATTTCCACCTAAAAGAAGAGTATTTGAATAATTAGAGTATATGTGCTTATTAATTTCGTCTATTAATTTTTGATGACCAACTTCGTAATGAGGTATACCATTATTGTAGATTTGAACATTTGTAAAGTCTGGTTTACTTTCTATATCTAAATATTTATCTAAATGTTTTGATGCTATATTGATTAACTCTTCAGATGTTGATTTGGTGACATCTACCCATTTATCGTTTCTTTCAGAGATTCCTTTATTACCGCCAATCATTATAGTGATAATTGATTCATTTGCAGTACTATTGTTATTATTGTTATTTACAAATTCTGGAAAAGTATTTGAGTCAAAACAAACACCAATAACAGGGTTATTTTCTTTTGATGATATTAAATAACCAAAACCTTTATCTTGAATTTTATTTGAAACTTTTTCATTTGATTTATAAATAAAATTAACAACTGCAATTGAGGAATAATTCATGGCCTCTAAAAGTTTTGAAAGAGTGGGGTCAGATTCTTTAAACATTGGTGCAAGTTCGACAAATGGAATTGTAGTAATTAATCTATCAAATTCTTGGGCTGCACCAGATTCATCTATAATTTTGATGGCACCGCTATTGGTCTTTGAAATTTCCTTAATAGTACTAGAGAAGTGTAGTTTGGTACGACCATCACTTTCAATATTTTTTCTAAACTTTTGAATTAATTGCGATAAACCATTCTCCTTGAACGAAAAAACACCAGTTTTATCGATATCTTTATCGAGGACCTCTTTGAGCGAAAGTTTTGTTGGGATCAATGATTTTTCAAACTTTTCTTTTGCAGTTTCGTATTTTGCTTTTTCTTCAGCTGATGTGAAAATGTTACCAAGGATAAGACCATTGAATGGCTCAACTTTGCAAACTGCTGGGAAACATGATTTAATTGAAAGCTTCTTAAAGTCACCAGCATAAATACCTAAACAAAATGGCTCTATAAATCTCTGTGTAACACTTTTTCCCAATCTTCTTGAAAAGAAATCAAATATCGACTCATCATAATTTGGATCTCTTTCTTTAACTGCTTTTGGTATCTTTTGGAATGGCTCTTTTAAAATTGCACTAATAAGACCATATTTTAACGAGAATAGTGCTATCTTGAACAATGATCCCATTGGTACCTCTTGAACCTTTCCATCAATTAATAAAAATTTACCATTACTTTTTTTACTGCTGAATATAATATCGTTTGATATACCTAAACGTTTGACCAACTCTAGTGTATTTAAACCTTTACCTGCAGCTCTTAATGATCTTGGACCCTTTTCAACAACAATATTATTATTGCTTGTGTCATTATTGGTTTTATTATTATTATTATTATTGCTATTGAATATATTGGTTTGGATATTACCTCCTAGTTTATTGGATTTTTCATAAATATTTATTTTTATTTCTCTATTTGGATTGTCTGATAAATATAAACCATTTCTTAAATAATAATAGCTTGATAAACCTGACACACCTCCACCAATAATACCAACATTATTTATTTTTTTTAACATTTTAATAACAAAATATTAAAAAAAAAAATTAAAAAAAATTAAAAAAAATCTGAAAAAAAAAAAAAATTATTTTTTAAAGATAATTAAAAATTCAATGAAATTTTGAAGATATATTGTAATAAAATAAAATATTGTTTTGTGATGTTTTAAATTTTTTGGATCTTTAGAAAAAGAAATAATATACACACCATTAAACTGAATAAAAAAAAATAATATTCTTTAAAATCTAAAATCTAAAACCAATAAAAATAAAAATTAATTTTAATTAAACATTAATAGTTTTTGTTATGTTATTTTATTTAAAATAAATTGTTAGGTAGATAAAGTTATATTGTAATATAGCAAGTTAAAATTTCAACTACAATAAAGCAGCATTCAGTTGAAATGGAAAATGACCAGTGTTTGGTTTTGATTTTATTAGAGCTAAAAAAGTTTATTTTTTGGGGTTTGAAATAAAAAAGAAATTTTATACAAATTCCGGTTAGATTTAATCTGTATTACTAAAATTTAAAAAAAATTTTGAAAACTATATCAAAATTTTTTTTTTTGGATCTGATTTTTAAAAAAAATTTTTGTTTTTTTTTTTTAAAAATTTTTTTATTTATTCCATAACTTTATCAATTTAAATAATTAAATAAAGTGAAAAACTTTCAATATTTTAAATAAATATAGTTTATTAAATTAAATAAAATTGAAATGGCTATGGAATGTAATGGAAATCATAAAAACATTTTGTTTGTAGGTGAAGGTAATTTTTCATTTTGCAAATCATTGGTAGAAAAGCACAATGAAAAGTGTGATAATAGTTTAAAAGTTACTGCATCAGATTTGAATATTACTAAAGCTGTTTTCAATAATTATAAAAGAAATGAAAATATCCATATACATGAAGATCGTAATATTTACAAGTGTGACGGTAGTAATTGTGACAATAGTGACGATTCTGACAATAGTGACGATTCTGACAATAGTGTCAATGATATTATCAATTCTGTAGCTTCGATGAGTATTGAAGAAAATAATAATAATAATAATGTTAAATCTAAATGTAACAACTGTGCTAAAACAATAGAAAATATTGATTGGTTGATCAAAAATAATTGTGAAATTATTTTGGGCTTAAATGCAACCAATTTATCTGGATGTTCAAAAACTAAAAAAAAAAAATATTCTAAAATCTATTGGGTAATGCCACATGATGGAGAAAGGTATCAGAATAATAGTTTACCAACTCTAATAAGGGATTTTTGCTTGTCTGCAAGAGAACTTCAAAATCTAAATGATAGGATACATATAGTAATCTCTCAAAATAAAGAATTTGGTAACTACCATAAAGAATTTCAACAAGCAAAAGTTTATAATATTATTGAAGGGCCATTCATTTCTGGTTATATTTTAGAAAAAAGAATAAATGTAAATGATCAAAGATACCCAGGTTATGAACATCAAAAGGTATGCAGTACAATAAAAGTGGAAAATGGAAATTTCCCAAATTTTTGAAAAAAACAAAATTAAAAAAATTAGTGAATATTATGAAACTTCAGAGCAATTAGGAATAATCGACCAGAATTTAAAAATTAAAAAAAATAAAAAAGTTACCAAATACATAGATTTTTTGCGTAAATACTATAAAGAAAAAGGAAATTTCAGAGTAACTTTCTACTCAAATGGGGGATTTCATCGTTTTTATATATCAGATGATGATGATATCAGTGATAACTCAGATAGATATGATGAATAAAATGCTGAAAATAAACAAGAGGATTATTAAAAAATAGGCAAATGAAAAGTCAAATAAAACCAAAAAATGATCAAATTCACAAAAATAGTAATTAAACGAACTCTGTCTAAAATAAAAATTAAATTTTTCAATAACCAATTCTTTAAATAATTTAATCTTTTAATTTTTATTTTGTTTTAAAATTTTTATGAATTAGTAGTAATATTAATTATTCCAATTTAAATTGGTTAAACAAAAATAAAACTATTGTATTTTTAGTTTTTGATAATTCTTAATACCTATATTTAGACAACATAAAATTCAGTTGTTGAATTTGTAAAGGTAATAATAACAGATGTTAATTATCCATGGTAATATTTAATGATTGTGTTTATGATATTGGTGTAAACTTGTTTTAATCTGTAAGTAATTGAACGATATAAAAAATAAACTATTTTAAAAAAACAAATGAAAAAATGAAATAAGAAATATAAAAAACTATTTTAAAAAAATATGATTTATTTTATAATTTTGATATTTTTCTGATTTCTTTAAATAAATTGCCATAATTAAAAACATTATTATTTATAACCAAGTTGTTGTTTTTATTATTATGATTATTATTATTTTGGTTTAATAAAATTAAAATTTTTTCTTCTTCAATTTTTTTATTTTTTATATAGAGGTCAGATAAAGTGTATTTCATTTTCATATAGCATGCTTCATCACCATAAGACTTGATTAAATATTTCTTTTTTTCTTCCGGTAAATTATTATCAATACTAAAACCTACTGAACCCCAAACTTTGAATGAACCTTGAACTGAAACCAAACCCATGTGGTCAAATAATGGGTTGTTTTGATAGAGATGATGTAAAACTCTTCTGGTTAAAATACGGGCTAAATTGAAACCTTTTACTCTTGGTCTAACTGCAATTTCATTTAAATATAACATGATTTCGCCAGAGTCACTATAAAATTCACCAGTTTCTGGATTTACAATTTTACTAACACCTGCTTTAACTGCTACTGGGTTATTGAGTGGTGGGAATTGATCTTTAAACCATGGGTGAGAAAAAAAGTGACCTAATAATTTCTTTTTATTTAATTCCAAGTCATCGGATGGTTCATAATTTTGAAAGAATTTAATGTCATCGCTGTTTTCGTTATCTAAAATTAAATCGACACACCAACATCCTTGTGGGAAAACTGTAAATTTGCTTTTGAATGCTTCATATTCCTCGTATAAATCATCAGTTGGGAACATCTCTTTTTGAATCTCGTAAATGGTTCTAATATCATTTATATGCATTGGTCTAAACAATACTGCAATATCTTTTGGCACACTTTCAATATTTGCATCTGTATTATTAATTGAAATAGTTTCAATTATTGTCATATTTTATTTATATATGTTTTATAAAAAAGGTTTTTTTTTAATTTTAATTTATTAATGATATGTTTAAAAAAAAAAAGTTGATTAATAAATTACGAAAAAATTAAAAAAAAAATAAAATAAAAAAAATGGTTTTTTTTAGATTTTTATTTTCCGAGGTGAAAGGTTGTACTGGTATTATACGCATTTATCTAAAATAGTAACTTACTTTATCTAATTATTTTTTATATAAAATATAATGCATAATATAATGGAATGAAATAATAATCTTGTATTAATTATTTTTTTTTGTTAATGGGGTAACTAAAATAATTTTTATTTTTATTTATTTATTATTTTTTTTTTATTTTTTTTTTATTTTTTTTAATTTCTATGAAAATGAATAATTTTAAGATTATCTGTCATATTTATAAATATTTATAACAAATAATTATTTTTTTTAATCACTTTCAGTTTAAAATTTAATAATAAAAAATTCTATACTTATAAGTATTAAAATATTTTTTTTTTATAAAATTATATTTTTTTATTTTTATTTTTTTTAAAATTTTTATAAAAAAAAATAAAATTTTTTTTTAGTTGTGTTTACAACAATTAATTAATTGTTGTATCGAACAGTATTAATCATTGTAATAATAATTTATAATAATTTTAAAAAACAATAAAATTTTCTTTAAACCTCAATTAAAAAAAAATCATAATGATATCTAATGTGTGTAACATCGAATATATTATAACTAAAAATTTTGTTTATAATATATGCACACAAATTTATAAAATAACTAACATTTTTTTTATTGTAAATATATAACAGATACAGGATCCAAATTATGAAACTTTAAAAAGAGAATTCAAGAGATTATATGAAAATTGTAATAGTGTTAAAAACTCATTGCTTTCTTACACATCCTATATTAAAGGTGGGGTTTTTATTATTTTAAAATCATAATAGTAATAATTATGTACTAATATTTTTTTTAAATCAGAATTATATTTATCACCAAATAGTATTTATAATAGTTTAACACAATTTTATGATAATCAACATCCATTATCAAAATACAGTAGTTCTATACTTCAATTGATAGATGCTCAAATAAAGAATTGGGAAATAAATGAATTTAATGGACATTATCAAAAGATATTAGACTATTCTTTATCAATAGATCAGATTCATTCAACAATACAGAAAGTTGATAGATTATCCAGCGAAGTAAATAATGAACAAAAAAAAAGTGAATATATACATTTAAAATCGTCCCTTTTTAATGAAACTTCTCAGTTATTTGATAATAAAGCAGAATGTTTCGAAAAACCATTAATAAATATACAGCTCTCATTCAATAACTTAATTCAATCAGTTCATTCTATATTAAATAACTCTTCACCATTATTACAAACCCATATCAATAATCAAAATAATCACATATTAAATTTATACCCAAATAATGACTTTTTAAATAAACCTGTACACAACCATCTTGATGGCCCTTCAACAATAACACAACAACCATCCCCATCTTTAGTTAAACAACCATTAAGACCAAATCCTCCAATATCATCACCAATCCAACAACAACCACCACAGCGACAACAACAACAGCAGAGACCAGTTTCAATTATTTTAAAACCTGCAGCACCAGAGCCTTCAGAGATAAAGAAGGGATTTTCATTATTTAAAAAATCTGAACAATTTAATCAAAAATCAAAATTTGCTAAGGTACCACCATTAGATCAATTAATCAACGACCATGAATATCATAAACACCTGTGGGATAACAAAAGATATAAATTGGTCAAGACTTATAATGGGTCGGTTAGCGTAAACTATGACTTTACAATAAAGTATAAACCAAATACAAAACTGAATAAGCTCCAGGTTTGGCAGACAATACCAGAGAATATTCAAAATCAATTTATCAGAAAAGCAACATTTACAGCTTTAGATGGTAGTAATAATTCAATTTTTACAGATCCACAACCATTTATAGTAGATTCATCTCACCAAAAACTCTGGTTATTTCAATATGAAATACCAAAATATTCAAACAAACTTCATTTCATTTGTAGAGCCAATTTTGAAGTTGATTTATATAAAGTTAATTTAGTTGAAGTTACAGATCCAAACGAAGTTGTCCAATTTGAACCAATTAGCCAAAGAGATATCGATATTTATTTACGTCCAACTGATAAACTTAACTTTGACACTCCAGAGTTTGAACAGTTTATTCAAGAGAATGGCTTTTATCCAAAACAATTCGAAGATGGATCAATGGAAAGTGTTTTATGCTTTGCATACAGAATTTATCTTTTCCAATTAAAGAATTTTACATACAAATATCCACATACATTATCTGGTAAACCAATTGAAACATTTAAAGCAAAATATGGTGATGTAGGTATACATATATATACCCAAATTTTATAAATAGTTGAAAGTTCTAAAATTCTAACATAATAATTTTTAATAGTGCGGATGTCATTCATTCTTTTTTGCAAGTATCATGAGATATAACAACATTCCAACCAGATTATTATTTGGGCGTGGTGCAAATTTAAACAACAACAGTGACCCACAATGGCATGTAAAAACAGATATATATTTAGATCAAGTTGGTTGGGTACCAATGGATGTAACATGTAAAGACCTTAGTGGTCCACATACTCAACTTATTGGTAACGATAGTGGTGACCATATTACATTTGGTATGGATTACCTCACTGATATTAAAGATCTAAGTAAAGTTTCACAATTTTGTAGTTTCCAATTAATGGGTTTGTTACATTATGGTCAAAATGTAGAATTCGAATCAACATCGCATACTTCAAAACTATCTCAATTAACAGCACCAACCAAACAAGAGCAACTTCATCACATCAATCGATCCCAATATCAAAATCAACCACAGCAACTTAACCCACCAAAACCATTACAACAGATTAACAAATCACCAATTCAACAACAATTAAAAACATCACCTATACAAAAACCACCATTACAACAACAACAACAAAGACCAGTTTCAGCACCTTCAAAACCAGCAGCATCTGAAACAAAGAGTGGATTCTCATTATTTAAAAAATCAGCTGAAAGTATTCAAAAACTAAAGTTTCACAAAATACCACCATTGGACCAATTAGTCGATCATCATGAATATCATAAATTCTTTTGGGATAACAAAAGATATAAATTGGTCAAGACTTATAATGGGTCAGTTAGCGTAAACTATGACTTTACATTAAAGTATAAACCAAATACAAAGCTAAGTACGCTCCAAGTTTGGCAGACAATACCAGAGACTATTCAAAATCAATTTATCAGAAAAGCAACATTTACAGTTTTAGATGGCAATAATAATTCAATAATTGATTTACCATCTATAGTAGATTCATCTCATCAAAAGCTATTTTGTTTTAAATATAACCCTTTTCAGCACCCAAACAAACTTCATTTCATTTGTAGAGCCAATTTTGAAGTTGATTTATATAAAGTTAATTTAGTTGAAGTTACAGATCCAAACGAAGTTGTCCAATTTGAACCAATTAGCCAAAGAGATATCGATATTTATTTACGTCCAACTGAAAAACTTAACTATGATACTCCAGAGTTTGAACAGTTTATTCAAGAGAATGGCTTTTATCCAAAACAATTCGAAGACGGATCAATGGAAAGTGTTTTATGCTTTGCATACAGAATTTATCTTTTCCAATTAAAGAATTTTACATACAAATATCCACATACATTATCTGGTAAACCAATTGAAACATTTAAAGCAAAATATGGTGATGTAGGTATACATATTTACTCGAATTTATATAGTTTAAATACAAATTCTAACATAATATTTTTTTAATAGTGCGGATGTCATTCATTCTTTTTTACAAGTATCATGAGATATAACAACATTCCAACCAGATTATTATTTGGGCGTGGTGCAAATTTAAACAACAACAGTGACCCACAATGGCATGTAAAAACAGATATATATTTAGATCAGGTTGGTTGGGTACCAATGGATGTAACATGTAAAGACTTTAATGGTCCACATACTCACCTTATTGGTAATGATAGTGGTGACCATATTACATTTGGTATGGATTACCTCACTGATATTCAAGATCTATCGAAATATTCTCCATTCCCAAGTTTCCAATTAATGAATATGATACACTTTGGCCATAATGTAGAACTCGAATCAACATCGCATACTTCAAAACTATCTCAATTAACAGCACCAACCAAACAAGATCAATTTAGCCATATTAATCAAAGCCAATATCAACAATTACATATACAAACAATTGGCCAAAAATCTCAACCCACAGTTTTACAACAACAACAACAACCCCAACAACAACAACAACAACAACAACAACAACAACGATCAACACCACAACCAGCTTCACAAAGACCTGTTTCATTCCATCAACAACAACCAGTTCCAAATAGAACAGTACCTACTCAACAACAACCAGTTTCCCAAAGACCACAGGAAAAAGATAGTAGCTTTTCTAACTCTATATCATCATTCCTTTCAAATGCCACAAAATCTTTAAACATTAGTAACAATGGGTTGCCAAGTAAAATCCATGTTGACCAATTAATTAATGATCATAATCTACATAAAAAGTGTAAGTATTATTTTATCATTTATAAATTAATTATTTTCTTTTACTAAATCAATTAATTTTTTTTTTTCAGTATGGGATAAAAGATTTAAATTAGTCAAAAAATATAACTATTCAGTATCAACTTTATATACAAAAAAAATTATATTTAGCCCAGATTCCAAACTAAATGAAATTAAATTTTATATGGGTATACCATTAAATATTAATAATCAACAGGTTCGATATTCATCATTCACACTTCATGATAGCAATGACCAATGTATAAGTCAAGCTTCAATTGTCAAGTCACTAGTTCATGATTGCTATCTTTTAGCTTATAAACCAAATCCTGGCCAAGTTGATAGGGAATTAACATGGAAATATAGAGTTGATGTCGATTTTTACACAGTCACGGCAGAAGAAGTCACAAATCCAAATGAACAAATTGACTTTGATCCTATTTCAGAAAAAGAAATCGATTTATACTTAAGACCATCCGATAAAATGAAATTCGACACACCAGAGTTTGAACAATTTATATTCGAAAATAACTTATATCCAAAACAATTTGATGATGGTACCATGGAAAGTGTATTATGCTTCGCATACAGAGTTTCATTATTCATTTATAAAAACATTCAATACAAGAATCCATATTCACACAATGGTGATCCAATTTCAACATTTAAAGCAGGTCATGGAGATGTAAGTTTATTGAAATATATTTATTTTAAATCATCATACTAATAAATAAATTATTAATTTTACTTAGTGCGGTTGCCATTCATGGTTGTTTGGAAGTATTTTACGTTATAATAACATACCAGTACGTTTATTATATGGTCGTGGAGGTTTATTGGATAAACCAGGAGATAAGCAAATTCATATTAAAAATCAATTTTATGTTGAAGGTTTAGGTTTTGTTCCATATGATGGCGCCTTCAAAGATGGTAATCCTTATCATAAAAAATATTTTGCTCATGATATTGGTAGCCATGTTACTACAGGTTTAGATATTTATACAGATATTGAAGGTAGAAAAAACGAATTTTCATTCCAAAATCCAGCTTATTTTTATATTGGCAATGTAAAAATAGAATCATCAGAAGAAAAATATGATGTTTTTAAATTATAATAAATAAACTATTTTAATATAAATAAACTATAACATTTATTATTTTCTTTGTTGCTTTTGTTTGGCGGATATACTAATCACTAAATTCATCATTAGAAGACTCAAAACAATGCTTTTCTTTAGTTTCTTTTTCTTTTCCTTTTTTTTCATCTAAATGATATTGCAAATGGACTCTGCATCTTGTTTCACCTGGGACCTTGATAATATAAAAATTATAATTAAATTAAAATTATAAATATTGTTTTATTTTATTAAATAAAAAGGAACTTACAACTTTTGATTTACATCCTTTTTTTGAAGCAGTATGAGTACTTCCACAAATCAAACCTAACTCCTCTTTATTATGAATACCACAATAATAAGAACCCCTCAAAGCTTTATTAATACATTCTTCACCATTCGAATAAGATCCTAAACAAACAATGTCTGATTTTTTTTCTGAAACATAGTTATCATGGGTTTTACATTTTCCTTTTCTTGCTTTACATAACTCACCTATAAAATATTTTAATATTATATTTTAAATAAACATTATTAAAAATCATCTAATTTTTAATTACCTTTAAAATTTTCTTTTCCACAAAAACAACTTGGATCATGAGTTGCACATGTATTTAAACCAAACAATTTTTCCTTTATACATCTTGTACCTGTGAATTTATTTATAATTAAATTAAAAAAACAATTTCACAATAAAAAAAATAATTTTATTACCTTTTAATGTTGTAACACCACATGCAGAAATATGAGTTTTTTTTAAAGATTTCTCTACTTTTAATGGTTTTTTGTTGTTATTTGATTTCATATCTTTTATTTGTATTTGTTTTTTTTTTTTTTTTTTTTTTTTTTGATTAAAAAAAAAAAAAATTTGAGTTTTTGAATGGATGTTGGTAAATTTTACACATTTTAAAAAAAAATATATTTTTAATAAATAAATTATAAAAAAAAAATAAAAATATATATTTTAAATATATATACAATTAATTAAATTTAGATTTTATTTAGATTTAAATTTTTTAGAATTATCTTTAATTTTTTTATCATATAGTCTTCTTTTCTTTTGTTTTGAATCATTGTCTTCATTATCTGAATCATCATTTTGTTTATTTCTATCAAAATGACGTTGGAAAATATTATGAATTGTACCACTTTCGGATTGATAATGGAAATTGCTCTTTTGTAAAGGTTGGTCATTTAAACCATCACTAAACTCATTTACTGATTTATAACTTTTCATTTTGAAATCAATGGTTTGCTTTTGAAGAGTACTTTCATCACCTTTCTTTGCAGCTTTGGCACCTTTAATACCAGCAGACATCTTGTTTAATTCGGTTGGGGTTTCTCTTAAAGCAAAACTTTTTGAAACATGACCTAAATGAAGATGAGAAATATGGAAAATTGATTTAACGTCACCTTTGTGGGTTGCATAGGCTCTTAATGAGGATTGATAGGCACAACGGGCTAATTCTTTAGCTTTTGAATCATAAATTAAAAATCTTTCAAAGAGTAATTGAAGATCGTGAACAATAGATTCTAACTGTGATGCTTTTGAATTCTTTTTTAATTGGCCCTCTGATGTGTAGAACAATGATTGAAGAATGGATGTAACCTTCATTTCTCTAATTTGTAATTTATAATTCTCTAAATGTTGAATATACTTCTTTTCGCTTGGTAAAAGGAATAATAATGAACTACCGGCATTACCAAGACGAGCAGTTCTACCAATTCTGTGGATATAATCTTTGGTGTCTGAACATGGATCGTATTGAACAATCCAACTGACTGATGGTAAATCTAAACCTCTAGCTGAAACATCTGTTGTTAATAAAATACCATTGGATGAATTTTTAAAATCAAAGAATGTTTTGGTTCTAGTTTGTTGATCTAATTCACCATGTAATTTAAATACTGGTACTGAGAATACACTTGTTTTTGATCTTGTATTTCTTACTGAATCTGTATTGATTTTTTCTTTTTCATCATCGGTGTTATCGCTATCACTACCATTATCATTACCACCATCACTTTCGGCATCACTTTCTTCATCATCACTATTACCAGTATGGAAAATCTTTGAACTTTGTTGTTTAGCTTGTTGTTTCTTACGTTCATCTCTTAATTTTTCTTTAATGCTCTTTGATAAACCTCTTTCTTTGTCCATTTTTAAATGTGTGAAAGCATAAAAATGGAAATCTACTGAATCACATGAAGAAAAGAAAACAATCATTTTTTGTTGCTCGTTATTGACACTCTTTGAACCATCGGTATTGATATTTGAAGTTTTCCATCTAATAAATGAAACCAACGAAGTTAAACGTTCCTTTGATTCGACTTCAACAAAATATTGATCTAACTGTTTTGGTGCTAAAAGTTCTTCTTTCATTGCAGCATCGAATGGATTTTCTCCAGATTCCAATGCTCTTTGATCTAAACCAATGTAAACCGGATTCTTTAAAGAGATGGAAGCTAATCTTGAAATACCATCACTAAGAGTAGCGGAAACTAATACATTTTGTCTTGGTACACCATTTGATTTCTTTTTTTCATCTAAAATATTGATAATTGTGGTAATATCTTTTTCAAAACCTAAATCTAATAACTTATCAGCTTCATCCAATATACACCACTTGATATTATGAGTTGGGAAAGTTTTGGTATTTTGAAGATGATCTAATAATCTACCAGGAGTTGCAACCAATATATTTATACCTTTACGAATACGAGCTTTCTCTGCAGATCTATTTTCACCACCCATAATTAAACCTGGAACTATCCAATAGAATGGTTTTAAAAGTTTTTGGAGCTCATCAAAAATTTGTAATGCTAATTCTCTAGTTGGTGAAATTACAACACAATAACAACCATCAGCACGAGAAACACGTTGTTCAGTTAATTTTTGTACTACTGGTATTAAATATGCTAATGTTTTACCACTACCAGTTTGAGCTTTGACTAATGCATCACTGCCCTTAAGAATTGTTGGGATGGATGCCTCTTGAATATGTGTTGGTTTCACTAATTTCATATGACCTTGTAAATTTCTAACTAAAGTTTCTGATAATTGTAATGAACCAAAATTCATTGAACTAAAAGTTTCAAATGATTCTAATTTTGATATAGCTGGTTCAATATTTTCTAAAATTGGTCTATTTAATTCGTCTTTTTCAGCATTTTTTTCTGCTAATTTAAATTTATTTATAGTATCATTTTTTGAATTTGTAGTATTTATATTATTTGATTCGTTATTATTACTATTATTATTATTATTACTGTTATATCTATGAACTTGTGGTCCTTTTGATTCTTTTAATTCTTTTTGCTTTTGTTCAAGTGCAATTCTTTTTTCTAAATATGTTGGTTTTTTATTATTATTTTGATTATTTTGATTATTTTGATTATTATTTTGATTATTATTATTATTTTGATTATTATTTTGATTATTATTTCTATAATTGTTGTTTTGATTATTATTATTATTATTATTATTATTATTATTATTATTATTATTATTATTATTATTATTATTATTATTTCTATAATTATTATTTTGGGTATTATTATTTTTATTATTATTATTTATTTCATTTGTTTGTTTTCCTTTATAAAGTTTATTTGTTGAAAATCTACTATTATTACTAATATTTTCTTTAAAAAATGCATCTTCATCAATATCTGATTTCTTTTTTGGTGGTGCTTTATTTAAATAACAAATATTGAGTTGTAATCCATCATCGTCGTCGGCCATGTTTTATTTATTTATAGTAGTTTATAAGTAATGGGGTTTAAAAAAAATGATAAAAAAAAATTTTAGATTTCGTTTTTTTTTTTTTTTTTTTTATTTTTAAATTTAAATTTTTTTTAAATTTTATTTTTTTTTATTTATTTTTTAATTTTTTCATTTTCAATTCATTTTGTTTCTTTTTTCAAAAAATAAAAAAAAATATACCAAATATGAATCAAGACATTAAAAGATTATTAAAAATAAAAGTAGATGCACTTAAAAGGTAATTTATTTCACAATATCAGTTATTACAAAATGATGATTATTATAATAATCATTTTATTAATAATTATTAAATTTAATTAGATTAGAAAAAGACTATACATTATATAAACAAGAAGAGATTTCACAATATCAAAAAGTTGAAAGATTTAAATCAGACCCTACAAAAGATATTTACGATGTTAAAAAACAAGAAGAAATTTTAGATGAAACCAAAAGAATGATTATTGATTCAGTTTCAAGAGTTACATCCTATATTGTTTCATTAGGCGAGTTTTTAGTAAGTATACATTATCATTCAATCGATCAATCAATCAATCAATCAATCAATCATTAACTAATAAAATTAATAATTTTCATATATCTATCTATCTATAGGATGAACATAAAGATAAAGATGATGGCAGTGAAATATGGATAGAATCTTATGAAATAGTTGATAGACTATCTACTAAATTTTTAAATGAACAATAATAATAAAAAAAAAAGAAAAAAAAAAGAAAAGAAATTATTTATAAAATCAAAATAAAATGTAATAGTAATAATCCAATATTCAATTTATAATATAATAAAATATAATAAAATATAAATAAAATAATTTATATTTAACATTGTAATATAAAATAATGCATAGTATAATAAAAATGTATATTATATATATTCTACAATATTAAACAAATCAAATAAATAAACTGTACCAAATTTTTTTTTTTGAATATTTTTTTTATATTTCCTTTTTAATTTTTTTAATTTTTTTTATTTATTGTTTTATTTTATTTTATATTTTTAATTGATTTGAAATTAAATCAGTTGAATATTTTTTAACTTGATCTGATAAAATTGAAAATATTTTTTTACAACCCTTTTCACCTAATTCTAAAACTGATTCAAATAAATCTTGTGGGACTTTTGAATCCATATTTAAAGAGATAACACCACCAATTTGAGGTTGAATAGATAAAAGACAGTCAGGTCCACCTGAACGCTCTTCAATATGATTTAAATCTAAAACGGCAACACCATCGATACAACTTGTACTAACAGCACATACAAAATCCTTCATTGAAATACCTGCATCGATCAATGCCAATGTGGAAGCATTGATAGCAGCAGCCTTAAGGCCACCATCCGATTGTAAAACCTGTATATAAATATTAATTTGTGAACGTGGATATAAATGAGTTTGTATAGTTGATTCGAATGCTTGTTTTACTAGATTTGAAATTTCTGTGGTCGCTCTATCACCTTTGGTTTTTTGTTGTGGTTTTCTTTCTGTTGTGCTAAAACTGCTAGTTGCAAATTCACATTTTACGATTGCTCTATCAAAAATAGATTGACCACTGACCGATATCTCTCTTGGCCCATAAACTGCCGCTATAATTTTAGTATTACCTTGTTCATAATATGCTGATCCATCTGCTCTATTTGAAACACCCATTTGAATATTAATTCTTCTTAATTCATTTGCTCTTCTACCATCAATTCTTAAACCTTCTGGTGAAATATATGATAATTTACTCTATATATATATAATATTTATAAATATGTATTAAAATTAATATAATTGTTTATAATTTTTATATATAGTTTATAACATCATTTTATATGTAAACAAATAGGATGATTTAAAAGTGATGGTTATTATATATAACAAATGTTTAAGGAAATATACCATTTTATTAACACAATTAAATTAAAAATTAAAATTAAAATAAATAAAATTTAAAAATAAAAAAACGAAAAAAAATAAAAAAATTAAAAAAAAAATTTTAAAAAAAAAAAATAAAAAGAAATGCGCACTATAACTTTTTATTTATTATTAATTAATAATAAATAAGACCCTTTTTTTTTTATTTATAAAAACCTACTATTAATTAAAGTAAGGCTATTCATATTAATATTATTGGTAAATGATATTTTATTTATAATTTTATAAAATTAAGGGACTTCATATATATTCCGGCAGAATATTTTGCAAAATTAGATCGAACCAATTTAATAGAAAAAAAGGTTTTTATTTAGCCATTTTAATTTTTTTTTTAAGTTTAAAAACTATAACTTTAGATTTGGTACTTTTTTTATAAAAAGCACCTGCTAAGATGATAATAGTAGCTACACCGATACAGCTTACAAGAATTGCAATCAGAGTAGTATGGTTTTTGGATTTGTCACAGTTTGTTTTAAAATTGGAATTAATCAATACTGAAAAGTCTGGATCGATATAGCATGATGTTTCGCAATGTGGAATGTTAATACCAATGGTTACTGATTCATTTTGACTTGATATTAATGATGTGGTGATTAATGTTGTATGTCCATCTGATATTGCTCTGTTTATAAATCTACCATATAGAATCTTGTTGTCTTTATTGATCAAGATATAGTTTAATACTTGATTATCAAATATTGATGTTGATGTTGATGCTGGTTTACTGTTACAGTCGTTCGATGTAGTATCTGATATATTTGATATCATATGTAATTGTAATGTATTGAGTGGACTTTGATAGTTGTAGTTGTGAATTGATACTGATACTTTAATTGAACCTTTATCCAATTTGAAATCTAAACCTGCGAATGAATATTGAATATCATTTTCAATTTCTTGGATCGATAATATGATTTGACATTCAGTTTCGTTTAATATTTGTGTGAATATTACATTTTTTCCGTTTTTATCTTTTGAAGTTATGTTCCAATTGTTTTGAAGTGGATATTGTTTAACTGTGTCACTGTTAATATCTAACTCTAATAATGATGTGATTAATATATTGTATATTGTTTGATGGTTAATAATTGTTGTTGAACCGTCTGGATGAACTGTACTGTTGGTATTGCCATCATTATTATAATTTGAAGGTGAACTACAATCGAATCCAATCCATCCTGATTTACATTCACAAATACCATTTGATGTATCGCAAATACCATGACTTGTATCAGTACATTTGTTTAAACATATTTGTTGTTTTAATTGGTAAATAAAAAAGTTGAATGATTTCCATGTGATTCCATTTTGAAATACTGTTACATCTTTTTTACCTGTACCTGCCCCAATGTTGCATGTAATTGTGTTTGGTGATATGGTTTCTATTTTGCATTCTTGATTACCTATTGTTATATTTAAATCTTGATTTATATCTCCAAACCATCCATTCATTATTACCAATCCGCCATCTTCGTATGTTGGTGAAATTGATGACACATAGTGATTTGGACTAAAACACTGTGGGCATTCACAAATACCAGTATTATAGTTGCATTTATTACCGCTATATGATTCACAATTATCTAAACATGATGTATAATTGTTGAATACTTCGTTACCATCACGTTTATCTAAATTTAGATTGAATTTTGTTTGTAATTGATCTACTCTGATTATACCTAGTACATTATTCAGTTGATTTGGATATGTTGTTAAAGTACATGTAATTTGATAAAATGTTGAATCGGTTACATCACAAGATTTACCACCAATTGTAATTGTTATTTCAGCGATATCGTATGAATAATATAAACCTTTGAATAATAAAATCTGATTATTTGATGTTATATTTGATAATAATGGGGGGTATGGATCTGGAGTTAATGTAAATTCTTGATCAGTACTTTTGAATTTTATATTGTGAATAATTCTATTTAGTTTGTAGTTAAATGCAATAATATTTGAATTTCCTTCAATTAAAAGTTCAAAAGAAATTTGGGGGTTTGAATATATATCAGAAACATCATACCCTATGTTTTGACCTATAATTGAAAGTGCTGGTTTTGTTACAACTTTACCTTTATCCCAAAAAGTTTGGATAAAGTATTTTAGTTTTGGAATAGTTTCTATTTATAAGAAAAAAAAATATTAGGATATAAAATGGTTTTTAAACTAATTATAATCTTTATAAACTTACTACATGTTCCAATCGAATCTAAATTATCAAATTGATTTCCAATAAAATAACCTTTCATGTAAGCATCATTAAAGTGGCATGTAAAACATTCTGGAATTTTACCTGTCATTTTATTATTATTTATCATTAATAATACGGAGCAATATGATTCATCTATGGTACCAGTAATTGAGTTAAAACTTAAATCTAGTGTTGTAATTCTATTATTTGAGCCATCCCATTTTGGTAGATCTTCACCAATTTTGTTTGCCTTAAATGAAGTTTTGCTAATATCTGTTCCATCAAAAACTTTATTGTCTGGTAAAATTGTTAGACCCCCAGAAATAAACTCGCTTATTTAAAATAGAAAAAGAAATTAGAATAAAATTCTAAAGATTTTGGCTTTTCCGAATAATTTAATTAATACAAACAATTGCATAATACCATTTGGAAGTTTTGAAAAAGGAAATTGGCCTTTTATATGGAAATTTTTTGTTGATGAAAAGGATCTAATTTAATTAAAAAGATTAATACTTTGGACATGATTTTAAATTTTAATTAATAATAATACATACATGGCATCTATGATGGTTTTTCCCGAAAAATCTAAATAATTGGTTGGGGCCATAACGTCATAAGATATATCACTGGGAGTTTTTTAAAGAAATTATAATTTGTAAATATTAATAAAAAATATTTAATAACTTTTAAATTAATACAAACAGTTTTGTAAGTGATGTTGGTGCGCCATTATTTGGATATTCTAATTCCAACAATATTGATAATGGTAATAGTGGATGTGTTGTACCTTTTAAAATGATACTGGAAAATGCGTTGTGTGTTGATAAATTACTGAAAGAATTGAAATCGAAATCTTGTGTTAAATAATAATTTGCAGGGCCATCTGAATAAACATTAGCCATTGAAGGAATATTTCTTGTTGGAAATTCAAAATTTTTTATTTCTAAAGGGTTTTCTGGGGTACTTTTTAAATCATTATTTAAATATACACTATTGTAATTATAGTCTGTAACAAGGTCGGATACAATCATTTTAACATTTTTTTTTAAAGGTTTTTCAATTTTTGATAATAAAAGTGGTGTTTCAAGCTTTGATGCCAAAGTGACTGAAAGACTATTTGAATAAATTGGGTATTCGAAACTTATAGTTGGTGATAATATAATATTTCTATAAAACAAAAATCATTATTATTATTATTGTTATTGTTATTGTTATGTTTTTTTAGAGTTATTATTAAACTTACATATTATCAAAGTTTGAGGTTGGAAAATTAAAAAAGTCATTGTCCAATATAAATCTATGTAGAATTAACACTTTAAGTGAAGGACCCAAGCAATTTACATCACTATTCTGTATTACTTGGCTTGAAGTTTGTGTTCCAAGATATTGAATTATATTTTGATTTGAATCGCATGTAAAATAAATGTCTGAACAAAAATTTGCAGAAAGGGGTGTAATACCGGCTTTAGTTAATAATTTTGAAAAACAAGTACCTATTATTAAAAATAATATTAATATTTTTTTTTGGGGGACCAAAATATAAAAACAAACCTTCTTCTGGTGTATATTGAAGTGATAAACCAATAATAAAAATTAAAAAAACAATTATTATCTTTTTCATTATTATTTTTATTTTTTGTTTTTAAATAATATTAGAGAAAAAAAAAAAAATTTATCGATGTTTTTTGGTTTTTTTTAAGTTTTTTTTTTTTTAATATTGATATATTTTTATTTTGAAAATTGAAACTTTCAAAATATTCCTCTTCCCTCTAAATAAAATGCATTTGAATTTACATTATAGACGATTTCATTTGATTAAAAACTATTTTTTATTGAAAGACTCTATTGCTTTTATATAGTATCAAATTAAATATTAATTTTTAATTATAAATTTTAAACATGATATGAAATTATAATTTTCTATCAGAATATCAATAAAAAAAAAATTGATACTGTAGTTTAGAAATAAAGAATGTTTATTAAGAATAGATAATAAAAAAAATCCATAGCTCAAAAATTTCTTAATTTCAAATATAATTTCCCTTTATAAAAAGGAAAAATATAAATGAATCAATTTTTTTTTTAATTTTTTTTTTTCAGAATGATTAATTAAATTATTATTATTATAAAAATAACTTTTATTATTATAATATTAATAACAAAGTGATGTTTGGGTTGTTGATTTTTTTTTTGAAATTATAAAAAATGTCAAAAAAAAAGGGTGGGCGTTGAGTGTTTTCCTAAATTCCCAAGATTCTTTTTTTAAAAAAAAAATATTGTTTTGAGAAAATTAAAATTATTTTATAAAATAATATAATATATTTAGATAGCAAAAAATAATATTTTATAATAATCATATATTTATAAATAAATAAATATACAATGTATAGTAGTTTTCAACTACAAGTGGATGTAACAGGTTGTAACGGTACTAATACCACAAAGTTACTTATACCAAAAAATTTACCACCAGAACTGAATAATGTTTTAACTTTCGAAGAATATTTGTTTATTGTAAAAAAATTTAAAAGTACTTATAACAAAAGATATTTTTCTTTTTTAATTTTTCTTATAGTAATAATAGTTATAGCTTTAGCTTTACCTAAGGTTTTGAAAAAACAATTAGAAATTGGACTTTTTGTATTCATTATTTTATGTAGTTTAGCTGTTTTAGCTTTTATTGTAATTTTTACTTTCTTTTTAGTAAGTATTTACACTATTTTTTTTAAAAAAAAATACTAATTTTTTTTACAGCTTTCTCGTCTCTTAATAAAAAATACAATCAAAAAATTAAATTTACTATATACTGGCAGGGATTTTTACCTTTCAAGTGAAAAAATCGAAAGATTAACTAGAATTAATATAAACTATCGCAATGTCCAAAATTTAACTACACATCAATCACAAAAGGAACCACAACCATCAAGTATTGGAATTGAATTTCATTCTTTTTCCAATTTGTATCCACCAGAAACTAGTTTAGATCATCAAACTTCCCCATCAGAAATGGAAACCCCAGACTACAATAATATATATTATAATACAAGATACGAAGATGCGTGTGATAACATTCCATATGATGCTTTTGATGATGATATAAAAAAATAAAATAATATAAATCAATAACTGAAAAACAATTAAAACTAATAAAATTAAAATGGTTTAATTGTATATATATATATTTGTGGTGGAGAGGTTGGAGTTTGATGATTATGACTACGATTGGAAATTATAACGTTCTCATCAGATGGCTCCTCTCTATTTTTTGTTGTGGATTTTAAATTTTTATTAATGAAAATGAATATAACAAATAAAGTGAAAAAAAAATTGAGGATAAATTTGTAATGTACAAAAAAATTTTATTATCTATACAATTTGTAAAAAAAAAAAGATTTAAATCTTTTATAAAGAGTTATAACTCTTTTCCTTCTAAAGAAAAAAATTTGATACTCCAGTCTATCCAAAGTATGCTAACTAAACACATAAAAATTTCAATGATCGTACGTAGTTGGTTTTTTTTTGATAAAATTCTTATTACTATTATTATTATTAATTATTATTAATTATTATTATTATTATTTTTGTTAATTATTCGGATTTATATTGATTTATGTACAAAATTCAAGAGTGATGGAAGGTAAATTATTATTTGTTGTATCTTGAAAAATTATTTTCTTTAATCTATCATTTAATTGATCTTGGTCCACTGAATGGGGTGGTGATAAAGATGATGGGGTTTCGTGACTGCTGTTACTGTCGCTTACAATACTGCTACTATCAATGGTAACTCTTGAAACTACTGCAAATGGGTCATGACTATCATTTGGTGCAGATTCCATACCATCACCAGGTGGAGCCCATTCATTTGGTGGACTTAATGGTGGTGAAATTAAATATTGTCTTGAAGGGAATGGTGTTGCTAATTGATACTTATTTAATGATGTGAGTGGCATTTCCTAAAAATTAATAATAAAAACAATTAATATCAAATGTTATTTTCATATTAGTTACTATTATTATTAACTACTTACTTTTCCAAAATAAACTTTAGTTTCACTATCTAATTTAATATCATCCTGTCTTGTTACTAATAATTTGCATAATTCAGCCTCATTTCTGTGAGTGAAAACTAAAATTAAAGATTTAAAAATTGAAAGATATCTAACCATTTGAACAGAAAAAGAAAAGTTTAAATTTTGATTTTGTACCAAAGCTTGAACCAACTGCGCTCTATGTTCATCAATATTTTCCATAACTAAAACATTTGATGGATCTCTTCTTTCAAGTGATTGAATCTTCTTTTGTTTCATTTGATTTAAAAGTATTTCTTTTTCAGTCATTCCACAATCTTGTTGCTGTTGTATATTACAACTACCAATGTTACTTGAACTATTTGGTTTACTATTACAATTTATATATGATGATTTGATAGTTGAAATATCCATTTTATCATTACTTTCCTCATCTGAGCTTACTACAATGCTTGGTACGGTCAATGAATTACCAATACTTGTTTTTATATCACTACTAAAACGTGGGCCTGGGACTAATTGATTACCGCAATATGATGATGATGAGGATGGTACACCCAATGAAGAATTAACTCCAAGTCTACAGTTGTTTAATTGAGGTCTTGATGAGTTATTGGCCATACCAACTGAAATATTATTTGTTTTATGATTTTCAATAATTAAACTTGCTAATTGTTCCTCTAGCTCATTATTACTATTATTATTGTTATTATTATTATTATTCATTTTTATAAGTTATATATATTTAAAAACTATTTGTGTATTTGTTATATTATTGTGTGTATGGGCTAATAAAAAAAAAATAGAATATATAATAATAAACTATTTATTATTTTAAAAACAAATTTGATATTTTTTATTTATTTTAAAAAATTATTTCCGCTTAATTTTATATATATTTAATTGGTTGAAGTTTTATAAATGTATGTTTGTATAATTATGTATTATTGTGTGCTATGTGGTATTTTTTTTTTTTTTTTAAAATTTTATTTAAAAAAAAAAAATAAAATTAAAATATTAATTTGTGGGTTTGGGGTTGAATGAATTTGTGATATCTATCTGTGTGGGTGTTTATTTATATTATTTGACTTTATTATATTTGTGTAAAACTTTTTAAATATATATATATAAAATTTTGATGTATTATTTTTTTTGTTATATACAAATATGGAATTAATTAAGCTTTGCAATGCTTTTGTTGTTTTGTGTTGCTGAAAAAAGTGTGGTGTTTAGTTTTGTGAGCACTTTGTATAACAATCTATTTTTGAGTTTTTAATCTTCGTGTAGTAGTATTACTATTTTATTAAATTATTTATTATTTTTTCATAAATATAATATTTAAAAAAAATATATATTTTATATTTATATTTTTTATTTTTATAACAAATAAATATTTAATTTTTTAAATTAAGTGTAACATGGGAATGTAAAATCTAATAAAAAAAAAAATGAAACAAACAAACAAAAAAAAAAAAAGGAAAAAAGGAAAATGTAAATAAGTAATATTTGTATATGCAGTGGTGGTGTATTTGTTTGTTTGTTTGTTTGTTTATGTTTGAGTGAAAATGAAGAGAACACAAATTATTTGAATATTATTAATTGTTTTAAATTATATTATAATTGTTATTATTATTATTATATTATTTAAAAAATGAAACTATTAATTTACAAATAAATTATTATTGTTTAGCAAAATAAATATTATTTTTGTTTTAAAAGTTAATTTTGCTTTATCAATTA